CTAAATAATTTTTCCTCGTCCACGCGAGTCTTCTGGATTTTGCCAATTCTGCGTTTATAGCGCACCGACGAGAGAACACCACTGTGGACTCTCTATTAAAATACATAATTATATATATTATATTAATACATATAATACATATTATATTAACATTACAAAAATGGAGGTGCTACACGGATGTCAGCTCCAGCGTCGCACTTTTTTAAAATCTCTTGAAAATGATTCAACAATAGGCTTTTTCAATAGTTCTCGAGAAGTTCTAGAATTCCTGATAGGTTTCAACAATCGTTCTGCTACGCAATATCGGTAAAATATGTATTAAATATGCTTGTGGCATAATACGCTTCAGTGCAGGCAGACACGAGTTGCTTGCTTTTGTCATATTAAACTTACCGAGCTTACACTGTGCGATCGAATTTAGGATTGCAAAGAAAAAAAGTATTTAGACTATATCCGATGAGTTGTCTCGTTCTAAGTGTTGCTTTGGGAACCAGCGATAAGTAGCGGAGGACTCTGCCCGCCAGGCTGCCCGTTCGTGATCACGTTCAGCTCGGCTACGACGGGATATGCGTTATCGACGGAGGCGATGATCACAAAATTCTATTCCCGGACTCGCCGCTAGGATTTAGCTTCATGTTTTTGGTATCGCCTGAAACCGTAGCGTTGTGCATCTCCCTACTGATCTCTGATCTTCTAGCTCGTATTTCCCCTCTATGGCCACATATTCATAGGTCAAATCGCGTGTGAATGAATGAGACAACGTGCAGTGACATTGACATTCAATATAAATGAACATGACGAAGACCAAACCGCAAGCTGAATATCGATATCTCTCTAGTAGTAGATGACACAGGAGGTACGTATTTACTACAACATCTTGTAAAATTCTCCTTACATTCCCATTCCTACTAAAATCATATTTGACTGAGCATGACCTATTGAAATCGTTGCCTGTCTCCTCATAGTAACATTCTTTCACATAGTTAATCAATCTCTTTAAAGTCTGTCTGAAATACGTTTTAGGTCGTAGTCTCATTCGGTTACTTTGTACCAGAGACGAGTAGGCAGATTGCCAATGGGCCTATGCTTCGTGGCCTCACTTTTATTCTGGTTTCGGCGGACCACCTTAGGGCAGGATCCTCGTGGGGATCAAACCGTGGAACTAGTTCGAGATTCCCGTTCAGGTGGCGCGTCGACGCGCCAAACTACGGACTCCAGATTCTCACGCGTAGTATTACTATATATATTCGACCAATCAAGAACGTGCAACTGGCTTCGAGGGCTCTCCGCTAAGGTGGCGCGCCGAAACCAGAATAAAAGTGAGGCCACGAAAAACACGCACATTGGCAATCCCCCTACTCATCACTGCTTTGTACCATGTGCTAATACAGAATCATACAGGTAGTTTGGAGTTGACACTGTGCGGTCACGTTGACAGGTAGTTTGGAGTTGAGACTGTACGGCTACGTTGATGAAGACGAAGATCATGACAATCGCCACAACGATGTCATTGATAAGAAGATGTCGTGCATTGGGAGGACTGACATTTTTTCAACCATCGTTTTCAAACGTTGCCTTAGAAAATTCCGCAGGAACTTCAAGTCCAAGAATTAGAAATTTGCTGCGCAGAAATGTGTCGACGACACAACCTCTAAGTGAAAAAGCAGAGTAAGTCTGAAAAATTTATTCCTACGGTCTTTGAACAGTGAATTTTTATGAAACGTAATGCTGTTATTTATTTTTAGAGTAAAAGTGACATTTGTCAGAGCTAACGGCGAGAGAATCGAGACTAAGGGAAAGGAAGGAGACAGTTTGCTTGACGTTGTAGTAAATAACGAAATTGATTTGGATGGATTTGGTACGCCTTGTGTCGTCATTGGCATCATTTGAATAAGGAATAATGAAATCAGTAGGGTTCGGATTTGGTTCCCAAGCGCGACTCGAGACTGGCGACTCGTCTCGTAAATTGTTGTACTCTTAGTAATCGCGCTAGGTGGCCAAATCTGGTACCCGATAGTCGCTGCGTCTTTTATACCGTTACATAACTTGCATTTAATTTTAAGGTGCGTGCGAAGGGACTTTAACATGCAGTACGTGTCATTTAATATTGCCAAAGGATGTTTACGACGCATTACCTGATAAACCAACGGACGAGGAGATGGACATGTTGGATTTAGCATATGAACTTTCTGAAACGTGCGTTATCGTATACGTATCTTTTTTTTTTCAACCGAATAGAATATTGTGTTCATTAAAATTATTCCTTCAGTTCTAGACTTGGCTGCCAAGTGATCTTGACAAAGAATCTTGACGGATTGGAAGTCAAAGTTCCTTCTACCGTAAACGACGCGAGAGCGTAACGAATGTGTAATGTAGTTAATGCTAGTGCGCAGTTCGAGCCGGAGCTTGGCTGTTGCGTTATAGTTAATGACAAGTACGTAGCGCGTGTTTGTGGTGAATAGTCTATTTTACGTTCAAACAAGAAGTCGGTTTCGGCCTTGTTTGTTATAATTTATGTATAGATCCTTTAAAGTCCATGTTTCATTGAGATGAGTAATGATACCTTTTTTGTTTTAATCATTTTCACCCGTACGCACTGATCTTGATTGTTAAGACAGCTGTTTGTATATCATGTGAGAATTTTGTGAAATTGGATATTTTGATTAATTACTAAGCTCTTTTGTTTTTATCGAAATTCCTCGATATTGAGAAATCATAAATGACATTATATGATGTTCGAAATTATATAAGTTTTAAAGTTACTTATGGTATTTATATTCAACCTCGCGGTTATTGCGTTAATTGACAAAGCATTGCTACACCTCTTATTATCCAATGCTCTTGTGATTTCTCAGTTGGAAGCCACATGGCAATTACAAAATTTGTAGAATGTCCGGTAGTAGAAAGTACACCACGGCGCTCGCTGGTTTTGTAAACCGGACACGTATAGGTTTGCCTCACAGCGACGTCTTCCTTCTTCATGGGAACTAACCAAATCTATAGAAATTAATATATTAGTTAAAATCAATCATATCAATCATTCGCAGGAAAACTCACGTGTGGCACGTTTTCGTATAAAACTTTCGGTAGGCTTTCATCCACGACCATTTTATCCATATTGAATCTGGCTCCATCCAAAAATAATCCATAAATATATACTCCGTCTTCAGGCGGAGTTTGAAAAACAGTTTCCTTTAGTGTCACAAAATCATATACCAAAAGATCAATTGGTATGTGATATTTTCTAGCATAGTTCTGTCTGGCACCAGTCAGAAAAGCTTGTGTAAAATAAAATCCCGAAATCCAAAATGTAATCGGTGGCCCATTCTCATACCACTTCTACAAAGAAATTTTTCGTATTGAGTTTTCATATTCGTTTGTCGAAATTGTTAAATTGCTTACTTGTAAGAATTGTAAGCGTTCCAAAAAATCATTGACGTAGCTGCCCAGTGGTTTTAAAGATGGATAGGAACGGCGCATCCATAAAGTTGGAATTTTTCCAGTTAAAATTGCACCGACAACTTCTTCGAGTTCGAATGAAAGTACAATTAGGCCTGTAAATTAATAGTTTTATTGAATGTTGTTAAAATCATTCGTGATCGCACTAGGTTATACCTTTTATAGCTTTTTGTACGTTAACCAGACTGCCTCTTATACACTGCAACAATTTATTAAATCTTCCCATTTCCTGTACCAGCACAGTATTCATACTCTGGTTGTAAGACGTTGGATACTTTTCAAGAGCAGCCACCAGATCGAAGTCTTGTGGTAACTTTTTTAAAATGTCACTCGTCACTGCAAAAACCACGTCGTCTCCAGATTTTTCACCTGGTCCAGTGGTCGACATTTCCTGTAGGATGTAAGAACGTGTAAAATTTTAATTTCACAGTAATTTCATAGGGTCAGCATTCGTAACGCCCTTACCTTTAGAATCTAAATGTCAGACATGTAAAGTCATGATTTAAAAAATGAAAATGATGCGTTTTGTTTTTATGATCATATATGTATGCTTACCTTCAGCTCCCATTGATCCTGATAATTTTTAATGAAACAAAAAGCATTAAGAAGTTTATTACGTCCTTGTTGGTTTATTACTTATACTTACTGTTCGATCCTGAGCCGCGTGAAAATATTTGAGCTTATAATTGCGAAAAACAGATTGATCCATAATAAGCAGAACATTTTCATTTGTACCTGAGTGAGCAGAGTCGATGCGAACAGCACGTCCGTCTCGTTTTGATCTTTGATGATGTCTGCATTTTCATTCATCCCAAAGACACTAGGTGCTGTAGTCAATGGTAACTTCTTAGTGTACTCCATATAGGCATCATATTCCTTTGCGTTTGGACAATAATAAATATTTGATTCAGCGTCAAAGTAATATCTATCTTCCTCTAAGACTTCTCTGTGAATATAAAAAAATGATGTTCAAGAAATTATTAAACTACTCGACACTGAGTCTGGCAGACATACTTGGAGTAAAATTTTGCCAAAATCGTATTCAAGGTCCTTCTGTCCCATTCGTCAGTGACTCTCCCACCATAATTACATTCTCCAGTCAAATATTTAAGTGCTTCGAATTGCACGTCATCGTATTGATTAAGAAAAATATTTAATTGTAAGACACTGATCCTCAAGTCAGTTTCGTTAAATTCATACGGCGTGTTCCAGCCAATGGGACCAAAGTGTCGTCTCTCTTGCACAATGGCATGAAAGAAGCAAAGAGAATACAGGAGCTTTTTGAAAAAATCGCTTTGTTTGGACGACTCAAAAAATTCGGGATCCGAGATCGGATCGCTTAAATAAGATCTGATGATATTTGCTCGGAGACCCTTGGGCGGTTCGTTTGTTATTTTTATACCATTTTGGAGCACAGATACCGGAAAATGTTCGGCTGGGTAACTGGTTAACCATAATCGAAAGTCAGGATGTATAGTGTCTGGTAATAAACCCTCACAAATTTTTTCAAGGGTACTCATCCAGCTTTTTGCCAAATGACAGTTTTGAAGCACGACCCAATTACCATACTTGACGCCGTCGTTTATCAAACGCACAGCTATGGGACCTTGACCTGTAAAATATCTTCTGATAAGATATCGAGAATTATTAGCGGTACAGATAATTCGATGATACTAAGAATACCTTGACCAAGTGATAAAGAGAATAAACGATTTGCTCCAAAGCCTTGATCATCTGCGAATTTTAATAACAATTGTGCGGGATCTGCTCCTGGCGTTAAAACAAATATCAGCGGCACACAGCAATGAGAGTCTGCATAAGATGAGGCTAGATCGAACGGTGGAGGATCTACGAATGGAGGTCCAAGTTCAACTGAAACGGTTAATGAATTTCACATGAATGATACTCATGAATTATGATGATTTATGCATCGAATAAGTACCCTCCACGAAGTTCCGAATAGCTGGTATCACTTTGTCAGGCCGAATGCATCTTAGAATTAACATTTTTTGAAATTGCGTAAGATCGTTGAATGGCGCTGGTAAATCCAAAGATTGTGGCTCCTTCGAATCAAATAACTTTTTCCACGCTTCTATATTCTTCGCAAAGGCTTCTCTGATTCCCTGTAAGTCGCGTCATTGTGTTTTATAATATTCATTATTACAATGAGGTTATTTTTCGGACTGACTTTGTATCCCGACACGTCGTCTAATCGACATAGTTCATTCCACAATTTAATTGGCAGCCAAGGTGCTGGATTTGGATATGGATTATCCAACCCCACTCCGCCAGTCAGTAGAAACATCCATTGAACCATAGATATTTTATCTTGTTTGTTTAACAAATTGACTACCAGCAGTAAAGCAAACAGTAGCTTGTCTTTTTCGAACAAGGATCTGCATATGTTCACGTACAAAGAGTATGTGAAATATTTGGTCAGTTCCTTTAGGCGTATCTCAATGTTTTCATCGGGTTCGGTATTGTCGATAGCCATTTTGAAAAGATTAACAAACCACGTCAATGAATATTGGTACATTGGATCTATGTTTGCCAGGACAGCTGTAATGAATTAATTAAAATTATCTGATAGTCTATTGTAATTTAGGATCCGTGCAGTTGGGAAGAAAATTATTATTGTACCAATTGTGAAGAACAATACGGTTGAGTACACGGCAATTGGTGTGTACTGAAGTCGTGCAGCATCTATTGACTTTTCAGTGATTTCTGCAGCTGCCTGCTTCACGTGTATATCATTGCTCAATACTTTTGAAGATGTCAAGACATTTATTGCTTCTTCGTCTTCCAAAATATTGCCTTCGGCTACTGACAAAACTTCTAAGATTTTATCTTCAGTTTCCTTAAGCAACCTGTACAGAATATGTTTGTTTGTGACGGACGGAAATTTTGGGTGCATCTCTTTTTCTTTCTTTGACATACTTTTTATTGGTAGCTCCCTGAATAATGAGGGCATTTTTTTCAGATTCTAAATCTGGTCTTTCCTTTGCTACTACAATACCCAACAATTGATCTTCCAATCCACTTGGCGTTATCATAAAGTTCAGTAGAGTCACCTTGACAGCAATTTCGGGCAAGTAGTGAGGATTTCTTAGTTTAGTTGTTATGTAAAGCCTGAAAGTACGTTTTGAAAGAAGTTTATAAAAATTAGTTGATTCTGTATTTTATAAAATTTTACCTGAAGTCTTTGTTGTACTCTATTACAGAATCTCCCAGTTTTATGCAGATTGCTCCGCCTTGTTTAAAAGTTTGCTTGAGCAATACTGGCTCCAACATCGCATCCAGTTCCTCGCCAACATTTTCAAGCAATATTGGTTGACCGAATTGTATTGCATTTTCCAAAACTCTCGCATAGTCGCTCTGTGTGAGACGAATGATGCTCATGTTATTCTGCTTCTCCATATTCTTTACCCATTTGTTGGCCTGACTTTGAGGATCTATCATGAGCGGCCATCTTCTAGCATTTCTAAATAGAATCACGTTAATATCGTTGACAGTAGAATTTTTGATAATTATATTATAATTGAAAAATTCTTACTTCACAATAATCCCATTGTCTATCGAAAAGGAGTCGCTGGGTAATCCAAATATATTCCAAGATCTTATTAATACTGGATCACCCAAGACCTCGCGTAATTGAAAATCTTGAGTACAAATGACTTTCAAGTCGGTGCAAAGTTTTATCCAAGATTCTATTTGTTGAATTCTAAACGGCATCGTAAATGGACCAAGATAAGCCACGATCCCAGATGCAATTATAACATCCCCAGTCAAGCGGTAGTACCTTCAATTATTGTCATTTATTTCATAGCCCATCATTTTCACCATAATCATTACCTTTCACCCAACTCCTTGGCAGCCTCTGACCACCGGGTATATTCTCCACCTAAACCGCCAATCAGTTCTTCGGCACGTTTCAATTTTTGCTCGCAATCGGCAACCTTGTCAGTCATCGCTTGATAATCAGCCTTTCGCGCTCTCAGTACTTCTTCGAGAACTGTCAATTTTGCCTGACAACGTAATAATTAATATTTCCTACTTTTCACAAAATAGCAATAAATCACATCCGTACCTGAATCTGCCGAAGTTGTTCGCGTTTCACATTCAACTCAGCCATAGCAGTGTTGTAGAGTGCTTGTGCCTCGGCAAGTGCTTTCTTTTTCGGATTGACAACCCGAGCCACCACATCGTACTCTGCTATTGCATAAACCCATTTGCAAAGCCCTTCGCAGGCCGTAGAAGCAGTCTTAATTTTTTCCGGATCGAAATTGATATTCGTAAAATAGTCTTTACGAATTTTTTCTATGACACGCTCAGGAATATTGTCTTTGTCAAAATTCAAGAGGGAATCAAGAAACTTCATGTCTCCCAATACTTTTAAAGAAGCTTTCCAATAATCGTCGACTAGTTTTCCATCCGGCTGTTGTATTCGTTCCGGCTTGACTTCCTGTATTAAAAATCCTTCTTAACCTCAATTCCAAAAGTATCATATCGCACGAACAACATTCTCTTATTTCACCTTAAGAATGCAGATTGTTTCCATAACCAGTTTGACACCAGCTGGTGGATTCTTCATGGTCTTGACAACTGCTATGTCAGCTGTAGTCAATGTATTAAGTGCTGCATTTGCACGATTCAAAACTGGTATAACTTCAGCAAGATCAGCATCGCACTCTGCTTTTATTTCCGCTGCATGCGCTGCCACTTCCATGGCAGCCTCTTCGTCAACTTTGACAGTCTTCTCAATCTCCGCCACTTCTGTACTTTCCTTCTCGACGTTAACTAAGATGCGTTGCACATCCTGAGCCGCAGTAACCAGCAGTGGTTGCAAATTTTTTAAAGTCTCCTGCATCTCTTGCACTTGACTGTTTGTGCCATCAAGTCGGCCCAGACCACCCTCGTACCGACCCTTAGCTAGTATCACGTCGCTGTTCACAAAATAAATGAGTATAAATAACGCGTAGAAGAAACAAAGAAAAGTTCATTGGGTACCTCCGTTTTTTTTCTAATAAATCTTTGAAAGTGTTTATCATCTCCAGATAAGAGGTTGGCGTGACGTAATTATATCTGCCAAGACGCGTCAAAAATTCATTACTCAAATTCTGGGTTGATATATGAAAGAATTGACACATTTCAATGCCGGATTTTCTTTCGTCATCTGTCAGTTCAATTTCCCCAAGGAATCTTGTGGCCACTGCTAACAGAGCGTCGTCCGGCCATGGCTGTTAGACAAATACATTTGTATTCCACCTTGTCCTTACTTCTATACAAAGATCCGATTACCTGTAGCCAATCTATGGTACAGCAATTAACCAAGGCTGGAAACTTTCTGATCCTATTGCGAAATCCATCTCCAATCGGTGACATTGCTAATACAATATGCAGCTGCTCACGTGCTATTTGTATAAACAGATTAAAAAGGGCAACTGGACTTCCATCAGTTTGCTGAGTTCGCTCTCGTTGACGATCGATCTGTCGCATTTTCTCACAAATCTCAGCCTTCTCGTCAGCATTGAATATATTTGGAACCTGAAACAGCAGCGTGAAAATTCATATACACTTTTTTGCTGCTTCATAATCCTGTCCAATACCTCGCCTGAATTCAGCATGTTGCTGATGTCCTCAAGAAAGCTTTCCTCCTTTATTTGAGTATCGGTGAACAAGAAAGTCGAATGCAATTCCGTTGCTGTTGTTTTCTTCAGTACAGTCTTTATATCTTCGTGCCATTCGTACATGCCATACTGTTTACTAATTTCAACTTGGTACACGTCATAGTCGGAAATATGAGATGCCAATCTGGTCAATGATTGTCTACCAGAACCACCGACACCAACCAACAACGCGTGACTTCTCGGTTGTTTAATGATTCGACATATCTTTGATAAATGCTCAATAGCAAAACGAAATAGAACAAGGTTCATTGGTTTTTTTGTCATAGAATTAAATTCAACTAGGTACACTTCCACTATCGAACGAAGCGCTTCCAAATCCTGCACTTCCTGATACAAACGAATATCTGCCTTCGGATCGCTAAAGTCACAATACAATAAGTTTCTCAGTTCGGCATCGCCCACCTGAGACAGGGATCAGTATAATTAATATACAGTATGTCGAAATTAGCAAATTTTATACTCACTTGAGGAGATTCGGAATTATCGGTGAGGTCTCTAAACATATCGTCCATATTTAATTCCATAAATTCTTTGACTGTTACATGTAGTTGTTGTATCAGCCAGGTAATATCACTGTCGTCGACTAGTCTGTCACCAAATACTCTTAGCACTTCATGAACCCACAGTCTTTTCATGCTGACCAGATTGGGCATTGTTTCAGGAACGGATAAAAGAACACCCTAAGATCATATAATTAGAACTGCCCTAATGTATTTTAGAGACAATTTCATTAATATTTCATTACCTGTATGACTCTGGAAAAATCACGAAGGTTAAAAAGGTAATGAGACTTTGTGGGTGTTGGCAATAAATTCTGTAGACTCTCCTTATAGATATCCAAAGTCGCTAATACTATTTGATCGATGCAAGGATCAAAGTCTTTGCTAAACCCTCTAAAAAGAAAAAAAAAAATCATCAATTATAGAACTAGTCATCCATTGAGGGTCATGATCTTTTACATACCTTGTATCAAGGTGCCAAAGAACGATCTTACTGAATATAGTAATCATTACGTCATCTTCAAAATCAGAAATGGTTAAGGTAAAGAAGTGTCTTTTGAATCTGGGCGTCACATCTTTACCACCACCAGTTGGTGGTCCCATGGCACACATTAATTGAATTTCAATTAACTTAATTGGAGTGATCTCCTTTCTGTCGTACCTATCAGAAAAATTATTTTTGTTTTTGCACTGGATTTATTAATAATTTCGTTAATCATATATCTACCATTGCCAATGATCTAGCCATTGTCTGAGCAATTCGATGGGTGGCTGTGCTCCGTACGTTTCCTTCATGGGCATAGAAACGTCATCGACAAAGATGACCCATCGCTTTCCAATAGGTGGCCCGTAAACACCCTTTCTCCTTTTATCCAATTTGCTCATAATAATATCTTGCGTTTGATTGGCAGTCGTTTGCGCAGAGAAATTTATGAAAAGGGGTTTATAGACGGTAGTGTTGTTTTTCTTCAGTAAAAAGTCTATTATGTAGACAGACTTTCCAGTACCGGTTGGACCGACAAAAAGTACCGGCTTCTGATTTTGTACCAATAATTGAAAGAGATTGGTGTATCGTATAGTTTCTACGGTTGGTACTATTATTTGATTGACTGGTATATCACGCGGAATTGGCGGTGCATTTAGCAATTCGTCCGACCACTGTTTCCATTTTCCTTTACCCTGAAGAAAATCATTCAATGAGAATACTGATTGCGCAAGCTTAAAAGCTTTAATTTCATTTCTTGTTTTACGATAACCAGTAAAATTTACCTCTTTAATGAATCTGTAGTCGAACACGAGACCGTCCTTTGGCATTATGAATATGTATGGTTTTATTGGGGGTGGAATTGGCTCAGTCAATTGGAATTGTGTTAGAAGAGCTACTGGAAATTCCTTTTCCAAAAGGCCGTGAAACAGAAGACTAAATTTTTCTCTGCACTTCGCTTCCAACGTTCCGCCCATGGCCCAGATGCACGAGAAGAAAAATGAACCCTAAAAATTGATAGGAAAATCCAAAAAATCAATTCTTTGAATTTAATCAACAGTTTGGCTACAGACCTCTATTTGCGCACGTAAGTCTAGATCAGTTAGGTTTTCAATGACTTTTTCATCATTATAATCTGCCAGGAAACAGTCCATAAGATATGTCACGGATCGCAAGAGATTTGAATCTGGCATTGGACACATTTCCTGACAAAAAAAAAAGTCCTTATAATTCCGTCATCTTAAAATTAATGGCGGTAAAAAATAATTTACCCTGACATCTCCACGGCGTAGAAGATGAATAAGTGGTTTGCAAAATCTCAAGAAGAGACTATCGATCATGAAATTCTTCAACCAATCGGTCAATACCTCAGGAGTCGTTTGGATCCAAGACCTTAACAAAGGTTCCCATCCGAGTGCAGAAGGTTCCATGTAAATCATTCCTACAGTGTGTCGTTTGAATTGAATGTTTGAATTTAGAAATTTGTCAAGCTGATAAATCGCTTAAATTCAACTGACCACAACGAGAGACTGTAGCAGGTGATGCAGCTTCCAAGTCCATTGGCTCGAATATCAAATTGGTCGTAGGAGCCAATTGTATGATTTCACCACTCATAAGGCACAACTTTTTATTATCATCCAAAACGGTGTTCATATTTTCAATCCACACAGCATCAATTGGTCCATCGAATATTAGCCACTTTCTATTTTCATTTGTAGATACTGCAAAAGTTCGATAATTAACAGCCAATATTCCATCGCTCCATTCGTGAGATGCTGGATCAAACTGTCCGTATAATTGACCCATAGTAATAGATTTTGGATTGATGATGGCTGTTTCGACTTTATGCTCGTTCATCAGACTCTGAGGGGATTAATTAGTACAAATAATAAATTCATTTTCAGTTTCATTCTTCTTCTCTTAACACTCACTCGCTCCTCGCAGAGTTCCAGTGCTTTTGCAAGTATTTTGTAAGCTGAAGTCTTTCCACCAAATGGATAACCAACAATCATGAAACCATGACGTACGATCATCATTTCGTAAATCTGATGAATTTTCTCCAAGAATACAGGAACGCATTGCATATTAGCTTCAGCACAAGCGTCGTATGTACAGGAATTCAAATCCGTGTAATCAGGATCAGGAAGCACCACATTAGGAAAAAGATCAGATGCGATACCCTAAGCCAACAATATTCAATATAGCAATATAAAAATTACTAATATAGATTGCATGACTTATCTTACATGAAAGAGCGGCAAGTCGTGACTTAGAAATTTAGGAAGATTGACATCATTTATGCTGCGGAGCATCAGTATATCTTCATTCTCATTCGGATATTTCAGTTTCAAGTTACCGGCAGCTATAAGAACTGACTTGACAGCTCTCATCCCATAATCGTAATGACTCTGACTCGACAATTGTTCAGAGCAAAGTCTGTAGGCCATTACGATTTTTATCGAGAGTGGACGAGCATTGTAGAATCCATAAGAGTACAAAGTATTCTCAGCAATCAGTCCGTAATCGGGTACCTAAAATGATCGTGGCATGTTGATAAGTGACTTTGACGAATGATTTTTCTTTATTTTATTTATACCGACCATCATGGCTACTGATCGGAAAAGTGCTTTAAGATTATCAGGAAGTTCCGAGCGTCCTGCGTATCCTGGATTCATAGTTATAAAAACAGCACAAGTTGGATCCAATTTGAGTTCAGTACCCTCAAAAACTAGTGTTGATTTTCCAGAATTAATTGCTCTTTGGATTGTTAATATTTGCTGAGCCACCACGGACAGAACTTCTAGATCAATTCGATTGAACTCATCGAAACATGACCATGCACCACATGACGCGAGACCCTGACCAGTTCCAATTGTTAGATCAAATGACACGAGATTCTAATCACACAGGGATAACCGTACCTTAAAGAATTTTCCAAGTGCAATGTAATCCAGTCCTTCTGAGCAATTGAATACAACGCATTGCTTGGCAACTGCCTTTGCTAGATCCTTTGTGGTTTCGGTCTTTCCGGTTCCGGCAGGGCCTTCCGGTGCACCACCCAGATGAAGACTCAATGCTCCAAAAAGTGTACGATAGCATCTATCTGTTAATGGCGTTATAACGAGACGTGACGTATTACCCAGATACTCGTAACCATACTTCAGAGATGAATTGATCATCATCGTCACCAGATTGTCATTCTATTAAGAGAAGAAAAGAAAATTATGAAGCACTACAGGAAATTTGAAGTTATCATCTATCATACCATCCAGTAGTATCGCAATTGGCACAGCCATTTAAAGTCATTTTCATTTTCAACATTCTGCTCCCATAATCCAACAAGCACGTCCCGAGCATGCACATCAAGAGTGACTAATGCTTCTGCATCAGAAAATGTTTGGTGGTTCATAAACGATCCTCATTTTGATCTTCTAGCTATTCTAACCGACAAATTGGAATTACCTAAAGTTGTGCGATTTTGCGTGGATAATTTTCCACGTACAAGCACAATGATTTGATTTAATTCATTGTTGCACGCGTCGATATATTCTTTGAGGCCATCAGGCCCTTTTGGGAAAGAAGAAGTGACGTCAGTGGTCCAGTAAAGCTGACTTATGCAAAGAACTGTTTGACCAGGCCATTCGAGCACCCATCGGCTTCGAGATTTTTTCAAATATGCATCCTTGGCTCTTATCACCTTCATTTCGTTGGTATGGACCAAAGTAGATTATACATCTTTATTAGGTCCAGCTCGATCGATTCAAATCCAGTATCCGAAAAACTTGACCTACCTGAGCCCTGACACTTTTCTTCATCTCGAATTCTAATTCGATCAGCCACTTTTCAACTTGACCACGTGCAGCTGCAGTATCTATAATATTTTCAAGCGCAACTTCTTCACCCTCTGAAGATTTCATCATTGTTACTTCCATCGCTTCAGTGAAACTAAGTTTAGCGATGCCTTCGAAGCATTTCTTCAAGTGCGGTTGAACCCTGTACCAAAGTTTAAGAATTAGTTTTAAAATAACGCCAAACTTATTTATCGTCAGTACCTCGTAGGATCTTTCGTTTCCGATAGAATTTCCAAAAGCTCGTCATTGGACAAGAAGAAGAATCGTGGAAAGAACAGTCTCTTCTTTTCGAGATAATCATTAAGGCCTTTCTGTATCAATTCCAGCAACCCCGCGCTTTTCTTCAATCTATCCAACATCTTATCTATCTCGACTACCGACATCACTTTAGGATCTGCTACAACGTATGACATGATGTCTCTCCAGATCTGTGCAAAGTTTAATGAGCACGTTACGTAAAGTCTTATGAGAACTAATTTAATATCGAGTTGAACCAACTTTATCGACAGCGCTGAAACGGCGTCCTTCTTCAGGCATTTGCTGCTGAATATCTGGCGAAGAAAATATCGGTTCCAGGTACATCCACGTTGATTGGACTTTGAGCCAATAATCTATAATATCCTGCAGCAGGTGCAGCTTTGCCTCCCATTCTCTAAAAGTTAATAAGGTCAGAAAAGGAAAGGAATTTCATTATAGCGCAAAGACTCACAGTGTTTCCTTTTCGAATGGTTTTATGTACAAGGAATTCTTCATGGTCTGTGCCTTCGTCAGATGATCGTCCAATAATAATTGAATTTCATCGACACTGGCAATTACAAAAGTTCCCGTGTCTCGATATGGATTCACAGTGAACTCGATGTCAGTCCAATCGGCATGCATTTTAAGTAAGGCCTTTTCCAAATTGCTTTCCTTCGTTGCTGCCTCGGAAATCCCGTCGAATTTCGATACATAATCGTCCAGGCCGAAGTCAATTATCTGGTGATTTGAATTTTCGTGTAAAAATTCATTACTGGATAATCAACAAGTTCAGATAATATGCTACGTACTTTAGCCAACGTCATACTTTGATCGACTTTAATAGGAAACCCAACGATTTCGGAAACTTGTTCCCAGTGACGACCTTTCATTCCTGGATTTCCAAGAGTCGTCACTATGGACATGTGTTCTCGAAAATCTTCTATTTTCATTTTGACTGTTTCCGCCAGTTTTCGAATTGCTGGTTCCCCAAAGGTTTTCTCTAATTTCGCTATGGTACGATAGGCTATACCGGTCTCGGTATCGATTTCCTCGGGATCGTGAGAACCAACCATTGACTCCATCCATTTGTTGTAATTTGACAAAAAATCGCAAGCTGCGTCGAACAGTTTTTTGTATGGTGATAATCTGTCTGCTATCTGTTTAATTTTTCAATAATCACATTATATCTAATATCTGATTAAGTTCAAGTATTAGTTATTGGTATCCAATCGATGTTGGATTTACCTTCTTTCTCAATGGATATTGCGACAATTCCCAACCGAACATTTGTTCCTCTTCATTAAATCTATCAATAGTTTCCATAGCAGTGATCAATCGATTTTCAAGACTCGTAGCTTTCTTCCTATAGCGAAAAATCTCTTCGATGTTTCCCCAGTACTGAATCTCGTTACACTGCTTCCAATATAATTCCAAGTCCTGCTTGAATTTTTCGATTCTCATGAGTAACGCATCTTGATATTCGCCCGTTTTGCTAGAAATTATTCTGCGATGCTCCTCAAATACGGACGTCATGCGATGGTACCTTGGTATTGAATTTTCAGTGTATCAACAATAAACTAAATCCTAACGTAACGAGCAATACTTACAACTAACAAAATACTTACCACTGGAATGCAAAGTTGTTCGTTTTTATTTCAACAGGCGTTAACAGCGTATAATCCGATAAAAATAAAATATATTTCATGACTTCCCTAAGACGGTTCTCCAATTCGTAAACCAGTTCGTTTTCGGCTTTTTGCACAAAAGCAGTAAGCTCCATTAATTCAGCAGTATTCGGAGGAGTGCTGAGTGCTTGATCAGCAATAGCTTGATACTCTTCCCCTATACTTCATAATTATTTTATTATCGCAGCAACAGTAAGGATCTCTAATAATGGTCCTAATTTCTGATAGACTCACGCTCGGGACTTATGTTGGTAATCGGCAATCATTTGGTTCAGCAACGACTCCTTATGAACATTAGCCACACTTGCCATGTGTTCCATCAAGTGGGCTCGGTGAACTTCGTACAATCCAGTGAACAAAGTACGATGAAAAGCAGTTGAAATGTTTCTTGCGAGTTCGTGATATTTGCCGATCATCGCTCCATATTCTTCAAAAGTGTGTGGCGGATCGGCTGCCAGAAATTCTTTCACAAGTATCTCGTCGTCGTCGTTTATCAGGGAGATATATCTGTCAAAGTCTTGAACTTGCAGTTCCGGTCCTATTCGATGCTCTTGTATGAGCTCTATGATGTTTTGTGTATGCGCGTCCAAAATTTCTGGCAAAACTATGGGCTGTTTTCAAAATTGAGTACAGGCAAATGTGGAGAATGATTTGTTAATTTCAGTGATTGATCATTACCTTCAATACCGGTGGATTAGCACTACTACTATCCATGTCGTATAATTTCATCTCTAATCGTGGATATCCAGAAACGGACTCGTACAGCGTATTAAGAAGCATCAGCAATGTATCAATGAAAGCTTTAAACGATGGATCAAATCCCACAGCCTTGTTTCTTATCACGACGTTTATGTTGAATCCGCAATTGCTATACTTTTTAAAGAACCCGTTGTAAATTGTTAATTTATTACAGTTGTATGGACAGTCGAAAGTTTAGTTGAAAATAAGCGGCAATCTATTTAATTGAGTTATAACTTACTATCTTTTGATTTCTCGATCCTCTCGTCTGCGTGAAAGTGCGTTGAGAAAGTGAGGTATTTTTGGTTTAAAAAAATGCGACAAAAAAATTGGTCGAATGTCTACGCGTAAAGTTCATTGAATACAGTTTATCAACTTACACCGACGTCCATAAGAAAGTCGACATAATCCTCCATTGATCTGAGACACAAACTTTGTAGGTGAGATTCCATTATTATCGCAAGACAATTGTAAAACTTTCGCATCTTCGTCTCGTTCGTGTCATTTGGTAACAGACCCTTTTTGTATCCCTAAGGAAGATTACGTAAATAAATGTGTGTTAGCCATGGATGAAAATTTCATACCGTTAAAAAAATATTGTATATTCTCGGAAGCCAATCATTGCACAATTTGTCTCTAGATTTCTCAGCCATTTGTAAATAATTATATTCGAAGACTACGAGATCGTATGTCTGGTGAGTTGACTCCAAAACTTTCCTATCGATGAGCCTCATTGTCCTAAGATATGGAATTTCGATATTAAAACGTGGTATCAATATTGCCAAATCAATTATCGATAATCATATAATTGATCTTACTCGAATTCACTAAACCATAGATCCAAAGTTCTTCTCATACAAGGATGATACAGATGGAGGTTCCTTTGTAATTTTACTCTTGTTTTTCTATACTGAACACCGAACTCTGGTGGGAAGTGTTTAATCTCGTAATTTTCCTTGGAAATTGGACCCTAAAACAATTAATTATATTACTAGATTCACGTAAAAAAAAAAAAAACAAAGACACCTCAAACGATTTTTATGCAGCAAACCTTATCATCGTCCTCAAAAATATCGTTCATCGGATCCTGCAGAACGAAATCGACAATTGACTTTTTGACGCTAATCGCATAGTCGTCCTTCGCATCTTGAATAACCTGAGTCATTGTATCTTTAAACTTTTGTTTCCACTTCGTGGGTACGAGATTCAAAATTTTTTTCAACACCGCAGAATCCATCGGTCCTACGTGAACGTCATCTATACCGTGCGTTATATAATAGTAGTATCTCAATAATTCCTTGTCCTCGTCAGTTATCCAATTTCCTGCACACACGGAAGGAATATTGACAGTGTCGTCGTCATCCTGTCCCATGATCATCCTGACAAGATTCTGTCTAAACTCTTCACGTTTTTTGCGAAGTGACGTATAGCAATTCATTTTGAAAAGCAGTTCCTTCTCGCGACGCTCTTTAGACGGCGTACATCTGAGAACTCTGAAACGGGAATTATTGAAATTCTATGAGGTGAAGAAAAAAAGAAAACCATACCTCGCTAAAGGCTAACCTTGGAATTTTCTTTTTTGGAAAGTCCAATAAAGCACTCGGCAAGGAAAAAATATTAGCTTCCCCGAAAGGATCTTCAAGCTCGTCACTTTCACAAAATTTATGAATTTGCTTTCTTTTTGCACATCTCTTAGATTTCTCACAAGGTGCGGTTCGTGGTTTCGTCTTACAACTATTTTCTGCGTACAGTTCATGTTTGTTGCGGAATGGATTTTTGGTTGGAAATAATTTCGAAAGTTGTCCTTGAATTTCAAAACTGATATCTTCTTGGTAGCTTTTGGACTTTTCGTATTGACTTGATCTTTTCGACTCCGTTGACGAATCCATTATGCAGAATATTACTTCATGTCGTTAAAACTTCACGTTGATTATTTCAAAACTTGACAGCAGTAACAGTGACACTTCGGTAACTGCCAGAAGAGTCAATAGCAGCACTATTCAATCTGGATAATAATTTACGCTTTAGAGTAAAGCATTATAGAAACAAATCCTCACTTTAATCTCATAACGGGGTTTCCATGGCGATGTTACCGGGGTTGCCATGGCTACTGCCTACTGGAACTGACGTAACTCCTTTTCATTCTCCCTAGGTTTGTTCATGAGGAATTATCAAGGAGAATGATTAAGTACACCTTCAAGGTAATAATGTCCAGGGTTTTAAGGATTACATTTTTATATTTATTAACCAATTAAATACATACATCGATCTAAGATCTTATACAATGATGTATACACCGTACAATTGAACGTTGATCGTTACAGCGGCGATACTTAAAAATTAATGTAAATTTTAATACGTCCTTGATTTCACAAAAAAATACAAACTTTTTCATCACATTATTGAACAATTTGTACGCCCCGCTTTTATTAATATCCTACTACGAATTTCATTCGAGCTGACGTTGCACACGGCTCTTGCATCGGCCTCCAATGTCATTGATTGTCACAAAAATGATAGTTACTCTTTAATATATATTCTTTATATTTTTCTTGATCCCATAACTGCATTAAGTAAGAAAGTAGTGCGCTTTGATTTTCGCCAGTATTCGGTTCCGAATAAAAATGTCCCATATGTCCATTTCGTCTGAAAATTGCGACACTCTCTCTAGAAGCTATCGTACCAAAATGCGTATCAAATCTTAAATCATAAAACTTTTCCAAAATGATCGTCATGAGAAATTGTGATACGTATTAATACCGACCGATCTAAAAAGCCCAATCACTTTATATCACAAAAGGTACCCGAGATGCACTTATGCATCTGATGCATCCCTGAAAACCTCAATGATACTTCTACATGCTCATCAATGCCTAATTCAATTCTTACGCGATTTACCGAATAACAACTTTATAATCTACTTAACCTAACTGTAACGCGAAAAGATTCTCAGCCCATTCGCGACGAAAGAGACGGTAATGTTGGATATTGATTTTCATTGAGTCACTGGTTGCGCTAGAAAACACTCATTAGCCAATGATAGGTGCGTGCATATAACAATAGGCTCGATAGGTATCAGGATATTTTTTTTGAAATTTTTCCGTATTAGCACAGGAAAAGAGAGGGAAAAAATGTACAATGAATTTTCAAAAGTGACGAAACTCCGATAAACGGCAATAAAAAGCAGTCTTAGATTTTTCCCTGTAAGTGTCAATTCACGTGAAAAGCTCATGAAAAGCTTATTGATTATATTACAAGCTGTCTTAATAACCCAAAGTCTAGCGGCTCCATTTTCAAGCCTGAGGGAAGTTGATGCGACACCGTAAAACTTTTTTGAAAGGATCGTCCAGAGGATACATATTGCAATTACGCATGAAATCACAGAACAATAAACGATCCTCCCGTACGAGCATTTCCAATTAAAAATATTTATACATATATATATATTTTCTTTAACATTCTTTGTTTAGGATCCGCACATGTACCAACACTTATTGTTGCAACGAAGTTGATCCGTTTATAAAGACGATTGAATTGTCTACGACATTTAATGGTTTGTTAGTATCGAACGTGGACTTTTAAAAATATTCCCCCTGTCGCCTACGCCATTACTTGGCTGTCAGTCCAACTGGGAGTCAGTGGAAGAATCGCTGAGCTGATCAGAAACAGTGGCGTAGACGTCCTAGATGATACTCTGAATAGTCAACGTTCTAGAATTAAATATTTTTTTCAAGTCGAAGATGTTCACCCATTTGCCCAACAACAGCACGACTCGGAATTGACGTAGTGTGGCTCTTATATTATTAATATATCTATTATTTATTATCTTAATAAATAATTATTCCGCATGCACGGATTCCCGTAGACAGCGAACGGTTAGGGTCTCGTGAAGCGATACCGGTAGGGGGTCCAGGCGAATAACTCTATGAAAAGAACACATATCCTATATGTACTCAAAGCTATTAACTTTTCAGGCGTATTTTTAGCATGCATGAACGACACTACAAAATCCCGTCCGCTCGCTGGATCAAGTGAAAAACTAATTTTCGTTCATGATGATGTCTATGTATATCGCACAGGCATTCTCAAAGATAACACAGTCCTCGGTTCAATGATAAAACATTCAAGTCATTCAAATCATAAATACATATTCTAACATTCTCAGCTTTTCGTACCATTAAACTATTTTTGGATGATTAAAAAAAAAATTCATCGTCCACGCATGCGTCTCTCGAGCATGTCAATACATCGTGCGTCCTAATGACGATGACAATGACGATGATCAACTATGAAAAATAAGGTAATAAAATTGTACTGTGATTGATACTAATAACACGAAGAAATGAGATCCCTATCAAGTTCGCACATGAGGATTGGCACACAACGACAGTCTCGAAACGCTTTGATGGCCCAATCGTAAGGAGCCGATCGATGCGATTGAGGATCCCACGGGAATGATCTTCGATATGGTTGATACAGTACTTTATCATTGATGGACTCTATGCTATATTCTTTTCTATGATCCGAATGGCCAGTAGCGTAGCAACTACTACGTTTTATCAGTCTATCATTTACCATTGTTGGTGAGGCAGGGGCAAAGTGCATTCAGTATTCGATTGCAGAAGCCACGAGCTCGGGTGTTCCAGCCGCTGATGCGATCACCGCCCTTCAATCTACTTCCTGCACATGCATTTACGAACGCATGTTAATCATGTAGTCATCATACGATTAGCACTGCACTCGTTAGAAGCAACTCCAGTTAAAGTTAGCAGACCAATGATTTGGGTCTAACAACGTCTCTACATGTAAAATTTACGTTACTAGGTCTACTCGGCTCAAAATTTTTAACAATAATAATTATTATATCGGGAGGTTTTAACATTACTGTACAATTCAATAATTCGTTACCTTCGCTCGCATCGGCTCCCTGTAAGACAAAATAGTAATTGTCATTAGTGCAACTGAACGTCATGCTATTTTGATCTTATTCCCTTGACGAACGCGTGCAATTTCTTACCTCTATTTGATATTTTCTTTTGGAAGCTTCCGTAGTCGCCGTTTCAATTACTTCCGTCACGAATTTCGTCGTTTCCTTCATCAGCTCTTCGTCGTCTTTAAAAGCCTCTTTACGCTGCTCAAGTGTTCCTGTCGTTAGATTCTTCTCGGTCTCTTCCATTATCGGAGAATGAAAAGTCAATGTCATTCTCTCAGTCATTTTCTCTAATTAGAAACGGCTCTTATATCCTCATTGGATATTATGTTTCTGACGAATTCCAGAAGTTCCGAAATATCAGTAAGGAACGAAGTCGTGCATCGCTCGAGGCTGCAGCGGTCTAAATTTTCAGAACTGAAACTAATCGACAACGAGACACTCGCATAAATGGCACTCGTGAACAATGGAGAATTCTACCTAAGAAGGAGTCCATTGTTTTCCTAGAGAAACCTCTCGGATGATTACAGTGGGTAAAGGGTGATTTTGAGACGTCCAGATTAAAGGGCGAGGAAACAAGTTCTGGCTTTACAGTGCAGGACAGCAGAGCTAGAAACCGTAGAGATACTTTGTTCGAGACCTTAAAGCTACACTGCTCTGATAACCTTCACATACATTTAACCGTGATTCAGGATTCAATACTGTTTTAAATCTTTGTCATTTGAGTTACGTACACTTCGTCGTTATTACACTTGGGTGATTCATTTTTAATTTAAAAGAAAAAATCATTGGCCGAGGGCACGGATTTTTATGACTAATGGACTCTGATTCGTCAGTGATTATAGAGAACATACAAGACTTTTATTTCCGTTGTGCTCATTATTGCGCAGAGATGAAAATTGTACGTACCTACATCCAATCGGGTGTGTTTTTAATTCTCAATCGTTTTGATTATCCAACACGTTTACAATGGGTTGTTACTCTTTTTAGCCGAACTCCCGGGCGCCGTGTACCTCGTAATGATCGGCCGCTTTGAGCCTGGCTTGCCTGACTGAATATCACCCCAGCAAAATATCCCAGAGCATGCGCCACGCAATGTGCCCCTACAAATTTGGTGCCACGGAGCCTGCAAGTCCAGCCAATTCCATCCCTAATAGAGAGTCGTCCGTTCTGTAATCTCAGGATATCTATGGTTCCAGTAAAAGCAAATCTAGTTGGTCGAGTCCAAAGATAAGCTATAGTATAAATAGAAAGTCTTTCTCCTCTAGTCCTGGACTAAGCAATTCCCAATAATACGGTCAAGTAATCAAATAATCAGGATCAATATGAGAAAATTATTTATCGAGCTGGATCGGCTAAAAAAAATTGTTAAATCACTTCCAAAAATACGAAAAAAAAAAAAAAAAATTCAGGTAATATTAGGTAATGGCCTTCGATATTCTTTTTAGCTAGTACGTAATTAAATTTTAAGCAAGTTCCGAGGGCTTAATCACTGTCGAGGTAGATCGAGCTTTCTCGTGTTAATCCCTCACAAACTCCTGACAAGGCTTTGTAATTAACGTCCTTATTGCGCACCATGATTTACTAGGAATACTGAGTTGAAACGTAAATACACGCATGCAATGTATGAACTTACTTAGCACCGTTTGTCGTAGTCGTTCTATATACCTTGCGTTTTCTATGCCGTCGACTCGTTCAGCATCGCTAAACATAGAGCGCCACAGATAGCCACGTAGGTACGATCGATATACGAGAGAAGGTGTTATCCGAAGATAGCGAGGAGAGAAAGAGAAAAAATATATATATTTTATTCGGTAAGCAACAGCCCATTAGCCTTCCTGGGCTAAAATCGATAAAATCCCAAGCTTTCGAATAGATAGCCACTATACACATAGTTACCATAGTAAATACGACAGTTGAACTCGGTCGTCATGTAAAATTTGGCTAATCTATCGGCAACAGGGCTTATACGTAAGGCAGCACAACGTTTGCACACGTTGTCGTTTAAACAGCTTTAATGAAGATACATAGGCACCTACGGCATCCAATTTCAGTGATAGACTAAGGTCTGGCTGTATTCCCCAATCTCATGAGATTCGGAGCAACGAGTAGCACACACTGAGATTTTATTTCTTCTTTGATTTCTTTTTTTTCCGCGTAACATTACGCTGGTTATGCGTCTGCCATGCTTTCTGTATTACTTTGGCCGCTCGATTTCTCACGAAGTCGTTGAGTCGTTCCTTGAAAGCTTCCATCGTCGCCAATTCCTTTTCTTCCTTCCATTTGGTGTATAGCACACTCTGCGTATTTAATTCGCTCTAAAGGAGAAGAGGGCGTGTGCAAATAAGAACGTACAATCGTACCCTACGAAAATCAGAAGTGAACAAACTTGAATGTCTTCTTGTTCTTTTCTGAGTGCTTCGGATTCCGCCATTAAGGACTCCATTAACTGATGACGTGCGCCTATCTCGGTATCGTATTTACCGAGAAGTGCGACAAATTGACTTTCCACCTTGGTTCTAAAAATATAATCAGCGCCGTTCAATAGTTGATACGTTTTTGTCGCAGTCCTCTTACCGTCTTGCACGCAATTCTTTCTCGCGTTGCGCATTATCCTGCATTATGACTTTCAACCTCTCGGTGCAATTATTGATCTCCGACTGTAACGATTCCTGCATTGCCCGCATCTCTGAAAATGACTTTACCATCTGCGACTCCGATTCGTTTCTGGAATGTTTACTCTCTCTGTACTTATCTGGTCTCGGTCGTACAGAACTTGATTGGTTACGAGGCGATACGGTTATTTGCTTTATTACTCACACTTTATTTGTTCTCTCGTCATCCAATCTTTTCTTTATCTTTGCCATCAGAGACTCGTCTCTAGCTATGCTGTCGTTTAATTCTCTTATAATCTCATTGTGCCGCGATTGTTGTTCCTCCAACATCTCTTGCAGCGCTAATACACATTTTCACGTAATAAAAAATGCGTGGCCTTGAATAATTTTCATGGTTCCTCTTACCTACTATGTCCTCCTCTGATTTCTTTGCACTTTTAAAAGCATTGCGAAGTTTCAACTCGTGCTGCCGATGCTCCGTCGGAGTTGTTCTCATACGTTTTTCCATAATGTTGCTGAACAACTCCAGACTGTAGATCAAGCTTTTGGAAGACGCAGGTACGTCTTTCAAAAGTTTCTCTGCGAGTTCATGAACTTCTGGATAATTGTGTAGTATCTGCATCAATGGAAACGCTTAATCTCTATTTCATCTTGTTTTCTTATTAACTGCTTGCCCTTACCTCAATGACTATCGTAAGTTGCGGATTGTAAGTAAAACTATTGAAATCCTCAAAATTAGAATTATCAGCATCTTCTGAAAAGGATGAATAGAATTCGCAAGTCTTCTGTACGGTAGACATTTCAGCGGGTGTCAGGATCCTTGGTAGATTCTTGTACTTTAATATTGCTGACAGACAAACCTGATGCAATAAATCATTTAAGACGAACGTATCGGTTTTTGTATGAATGAAAATTTTACTTGAATGGTATTACCGCCAATTTCAATTTGCCAAATGTCCTTGATATTATGGTTTGCATTCTTTGCACAGCCACTTCGCAATCCATCGTTTAAATAATTTAACCATAAAACTTTTTTTACGATACGTTCAAGTACAATATTCCGACTGTTGTCGAATCAGCTTACGAAACGCATCCATATTCACGTGCAACAACCTAAAGTTACGTGTCCATGGTAACTGACGTAACGATTTAATAAACTCTGCTAATGGGGTTCTATAAGTTTTTCCTAGATACATAGTAGACTTTTTGCATTGCTTGTAAATGGAATACTGAGGTCTAAAATGGATTTAATTTATTCTCTGGGTGGCTGATGCTGATTCTCGGGATAATGTGGGTATCCTGTGGGATAACCATGGGTCGTTTGTGGGTATCCTCGTGGTTGTCCAGTATTGATGCCACTCCACTCGTCATTGTGCTGCGGTGGATTCTCTGTGGATTCTGTGGCTATTTCTGTTTTTTCTTCATCTGAAAAATACACTTGTTCCATTTGCTATATTGTATCGCATTTCATTCGCCGAGACGTACTCTTTGCAAGACCTAATTTTTTCTTGATTTTGTCGAAAATTGACAGAAGGATTGGATCTGAAATATGTCATAGGAAAATTCGGGTAGAGGATTTTCAGAAATTTCGTTACGTACTTTGTGGAGATGTTACTGGAGTATGAATGGTATTTTTTAAAAGTACTCCTGTCCTGGGGATACGCAACATTCTGTAATTTCACATTGAATAACCAAAAATTGTTGGACGTTATACTTCAGTGGGCTTCAAATTTGATATCTGACTTTTTCGAAGATGCTGCCAAACAGTTGACCGTTAGACAAATGAGTAACGTTTACTCGTTCGAACGTACGCATTGCTCGTTCTTCAAGTCCAGAAATTGGTTATCCAGAAATCTCGTAATGTCATTAATTGTTCTGAAACTAGTCGATGAAATTAATCGAAGAATCGCGCTTTTATCAATCATTCGTAAAAAGTAATCAGTATACTATCGTCTATACAAATTGAGAAGATGGCTGCAAAAGTTGCAGGACCAGGGGCAGCAAACAATTCGCCAGATTCAGAAATTGCCAGTCTTCAGGTCACTTTACCACAAATGTTGGATCTTGCTCTTGGGACTCCTGAGGTAGTAGCAATCACCACGTCGCGATAATTCTTTATTGAAGTGACATTTAAGTAAACAGATCTGTCTATCAGGTGGGCGCAGTCAACCTCAATATTTTGCACAATTTTCTGCATGTTTTGCTGCATCAAATTAACTTGCGCAATACGAAAGTCGAATTTAGGGGCGACGAAGCCAACAGGATAAAGGTTTTTATGAAGAATTCGAGCCATATACATATCATAGATTGGTTGACGTATAAACTTATGTTATGTCATCTAGACTATGGTAGCGTCCTTGAAGGCTGGTCCAAGTTTGCATTTTCAGCAGTACAGTATTACGGACGATTCGGGAAACATTAAACAGCGAGTTCAGAATACTGAGAATAGTTCAGTAAAAGCCGAAGTTTATACAGAAGGTAGCACATAAGAAATGTGTATTAGTTGCATAAACAATTGGTTCGTATTTATATACAGAAACGAAAGATTCGCCAGAAAGTGTAAAACAAAAAAGATCCGCTGCAAGTGCTCCAGCAACAGCCCGAGGAAAAACAGGAAGAGAGCAAGGTATATTTCATTGCTAGAAGAGAAATGCTTCGTTAACTTCGTCGTCCTAACGTCCTTTGAATGTATCGATATCAGGATCAGACACTTCCCTCGAAGAAGGTGCACCAGCTGCCAAGAAGTCAAAGGGCGTCAAACAACAAATTGGCGTCGGTGTCAACGGTGAAAGCCAATCTGTCATCTTCATCGAACCCTTGATCGACGGTACAACGCCTACGGTTTTGGCCTTCAAGCAACTCGATGACAGCGTGAGTGACGGTTTTCCAAGGTTGGGAATTAATTTAATTAGCCTTGGTTGACGTTGACGTAGGTCAGGAAACTTCATGAGAAATTTCATGCAATGGAGGAATTTGCGAATAATCCAGAGATGATTGAGCGTGTGAAAGCCAGTGCCAGTGACCCACTTTCGGATATGTGGCATCTTATTAATATTGGAAAAAGATTAGATGCCACTGAACAGACCGTCGATAAGGTAATTAGGGAAACTTTTGTAAGGTCCTTATTATTTAAAAAACAATATTGTTAACTCAGCTTGCGACAATGCTGCAAGATCTTATAAAAGGCGATTCAACCGGGATAGGGACTGGTTCGAATAATCAGACTATTGATGAAATACGTGAACGTCTTGAACACGTGGAAGAATATCTTTCTCTGAAGCCTCAAGAGATCGTTATAGAACAAGGCACTCAAAACGAGGAGGTGGATACAAAAGCGAAAAATAATCAATTAAAAAGTGACGTTCCAACAACAAAAGAAACAGATTCTACGACTCCTGCAATATCCGCCGAAGCAACAGCTGAAATTGAGACAATTGTTACAAAACCTGCATCACCTAAGCGCAGTTTCATAAGTACGAAAATCCAATCGCAGTTAATATTGACTTGACAAGAAAAATTCCTTTTCCAGTCAATACAGAAATTGCTGAAATACGAAGCGTCCTGGCAACGTTAAAAAATGATGTTGGTAAAGTACAAGTCGAAGTGTCAGAACTGCAGTCGAAGATGTTGAAAGCCTCATCAAGTAACACATCATCAAGATACTCAACCCGAAGCAATACCAATAACGTTGATTGATCTTTTAGTAGCTACCACAGAGAAGTCTGGTGTACCCCAGACAGCAAGCATTAAGGAAGTCGAAATTCAGAAGGAGACAACTGGAAGTGTTGAAATTGAAGTTGGCGAGACAGAAGACACTAACATTTCCAGTTGTATGGAAGCTGTTAAGAACATTGAAGCAATGTATGGGGACGCACTGCACGAATTGGGCGAGCGTGTTAGAGCCATAGAAATAGATATAGGTTTGATTATGGAAAAAGTGAACAGCAGCAGCATGAACGTAATGGCGTTGGAAGTATCTCCAGGACCAAATGAATTAGTATCCAAGATCCAAAGTATACAGGCTGACCTGGAACGTGTCAGTCAGACTGCCAATAGGTTATTGGATGAACGAGAAGCTCGTGAAACCCATACTAACGTATTTATCGATCAATCTAAATGAAATTATTCACACATTTGATCTTACCTATTTTTGATAGGCTCTTGTAGAACAAATTGAACTCTTAAAAACTATAAAGGCGGATAAAGAAGATTTGGAAGATGCGTTGGCAGATAAAGCTGACGCACAAGCAGTCAATAGAAAAGTTGTTAAACATTTTACTAGTAGAATGAATTTCTCTTGTAGATAATTTATTCAATGACATTTGCATTCAGGTCTCGTATGATCAATTCGATGCAGCCTGCGATGATCTTGCGCGCGGGCTTGAAGATGCTATTGGCAAATTGTCCCAGCAAGAAAGTGTGTGGCAGCAGGCTTTGGACGAGGTACAAAAAGGGGTAGAAAATAAAGTGGACAAAATGGAAATGTCTCCTTTGAAAGATTTCGTTAACGCAAAATTAAAGACTCTCCAAGAGAAGCTTAAGGCTCTGTCAGAAATGCGAAAAGAGGCCGAAGCTGCCGGAACGAAAAAGATGTTAAGGTAACTCTTATCATTGGTCCAAGAAATTTTCCATTATCATTACCCATTCTTCATTCAGAGACGTGCAATGCATATCGTGTGACAAGAACGTGGTAATGAGAATGGAGGAAGGTAATGGTTTCCATGCTGAGCCAATGCCCTGTACAAGAAGTATAAAACCGTACTTGACCTATGAACTGGATCAAGTGAGAAAGCAGCAAAGAAAGTTACCCCATGGTAGAAACATGGTACAGTTAGAAGCCGCGCTGCAGGAAGAGGCAAGGAAGGCAAAAGCAACGAAGGAAGAAATATTAGTAAAAACCCCAAGGTACCGGAAGACGTGTACGCGATACCACCGATCGCTCTACTTCACTTTTCAAAACCACCTTTCTTCGTTCAGAGACCATTTGTGCAATCGGTACTGCGGCGGAAGTCATACAGTGACTACTCCTCAACAAAGAGTAATGAGGGTTGGACATTTTCTGACCCAATGGGGACCGGAAGCGATACAATTAACGGAAGGACTCGTGAAAGGTACAGATGGTCAATTGTACAAAGGTCGTCCAGTTTCAATTAAACCAGTTTGTGGCAATAGTTGCAAAGAAGATGAAGTGGATAAAACTATTCCTATGGTATGATATGAAATGAAAGTCAGTGCAAAGAACATTACATAAATTTTGAAAAAATTTCAGGAAATAGAGGCTCCAATTTCAAATCGCCCAAGCATTTCCAGTGCACGAAGACCTAGTAGCGTATCCCGTTAGTAATTCAATATTTTATATACTACTAGACAGTCCAGACTTTCGCTTCACGAAAACTTTACTGGGTTTCTATAGAAAGAAGAATGAGTGCGAGAAAACTAGCTGCTCCTGCGGAGCCTCCAGTTCAGGATACAATAAACGAAGTGAGTTACCAAAAAAGCCACAAAACTTAACCACGTCATTAAACGAACCTAATAATATTTCAGGAAGTAACACGGGAGGAACAACATTCCTCGGTTATTCTAAAAAGTAGTACAATTCAAAAGCTGCAAATAGCCCAAGAACCAAGTAAAATGATTAGAGAGACAATTACCGAGTCAAAATATTCAATTCGCCAATCAGGCACTACAATAAAATTGGATTCCGAGGACGGTGAAACTGAAAACGCATAAGAACAAAAAACGCACAAGCCAAAAAAAGCACTTTGTATCTACAAAACCAAAAAACAAGGAGACTGGGAATTTCTTATCCTAGATTAATATCTGGATAGTCCTTAATGGTGTTATACCGTGAAATAACTTATTAAATTTTTATTAAGAAGGAATTCCAGAATACACAATACTATTGAATGAGATGGATTCACTTTGTTCGCTGAAACGTTGACGGTTTTCCTGCAACAAGAAAAATATTTTCCTCGCACCTCATACAATCCTTCTCCTCGCTATTGCACATCCGTTCGGTATTCGCTTACATGGGAGGCGAGTATAATGCATAAGTTAATCGTTTACTTGGTTAATTACGGGGCTGTAACCTGACCCCTTTAAACTGACTACAGTCTGAACAGAACATCCAACTGGTGGCCAACAGATAGACTGAACTTGGCAGAACCACCACAGTTGGACAGTTCCGATCTAGGTTATTCATAATAATAATATATTTATGTGTATGTATACATATGTGTACGTGTGTATCTGCATACGCGTCAAAGTTACAGACTACGTCATATAAATTTCAAGGTACAGGGAGTATCTACAAGTTAGTTAGCTCTACCATATCATACGACAGTGTTTAATAATAATAATAATAATCGCAATAATAATATATAATAATAATAATTAACACTAACCGACTATCTGCCTATCGCTAACGGTTATTAGGTGAACTACGACTCTTACGATTAAATCAACGTATAGAACCGCGCATACAACCATTGGCCAACGACACGATGCAATAAATATAATATCAAATAAATATATAGATTATAATATTATCAATAATCGTTCGCAATGGGACAATAATATCTTAAACCTTAACGTGGATATGCATTATTGATTACAATTAATAATACTGGCAGCTTAAAGTACAGGGTTTCCCTTTCGAATGACGTATCAGGGTAAATAGTGCTACGAGGGTTTTGGAGTGCCGGATAAAAAATCTAATATCGTAGTAAATAGATACGTTGTTAATTGTATCAAATGAAAGAAAGCAGTGACGTTATTTCGAAACAAAAAAAAAAAGCTAATATTTGAAAAAAGGAATTTCATTATTTTTGGAAGAGACACATTTGGCTGTCTGAGTAATCGCTTATGGAAAATTAATGAAGTATCTGGCACTCGTCCTGCCGTCATTTTTTCTTTCGTCATCTCAAGATACTTCCGGCGAGTTTGAAAGCTTCTATTATTCGTCTGTCGCATTCATCGTTGACGAATATTTGAATTTTGTTATTTGCGCGCACTGTTTTACTGTTGACAATTTTTTTTTGTTGTACACGAAAAGATTATTGTTACATCACGGACGTCTTGTTCTTTCCTTTTCAACGTCTAAGTACGAAATTACGTTTTCGGTCGCTGCGACGATCGTTAATCGCACAAATATTGCACGCGTGTGATTCAACAAATAATAACAGATCACAGGTGGACTAAGCTAGGTACTCTGTAACAAAGTAATATCACATTGAAAAAATATGTATCAGTTACTTCGCCCGCGGTAAAATTTAAAAATAACAAATTAACGAACAAATCGATTCGGGAACGGCGATACTCCGTTTTCTATAATATTTCTTTCGCGATTGTGCAATTTATTTGTTCATTGCCATTTTTTGTTGCCGTTCGTTCATTAAACAGGAGTGGAATCGTATCCCAAATAGTTCATTCACGTTGGCCCGTTATCTTGAGAGTTGAATTAATAAGTTTATTAATCGCTCTCCATTAATTAATCCGTTATTTAAGACTATCGCTTATCAACGACGACGAATAAATTAAATGCTTACTAAAGACGATTACGATTAAAAGTAATATTTGGCATTTTATATCGATCCTGTTTTTCTTGGATTTTATTTATGCAATTGTCATTTCTTCTCCTTCTTTTCTTCTTCTTCCTCATTTATTCGTTTTGATCGTCACTGTATTCATCATCGGGCCCCATTTTTACTGGGCCTACTATTGTAACGATAAATGATGTATCTTTGGCTTTTCTGCAGCAATCGCAGGTTAGGTTAGTACTAGGTTAGGTTACTACTCTACGAGTAGTCGACACTTATTATCGTAATAATGTCTTTCTGCTAACATGTCTTTTCTCTAAGGCTACGCAAATTATCTTAACATTCTTGCACACCTTATTGGGTAGTGGGATTCGTCAGGAATGGGAAGATGGTCATTCTTTTTTTCGAATGATATACAGATGATCTTCAGGTAGATGTTATGCCGTGTATCGATCATTAGTTCCTTCGTCTCTTTATCACTTATTTTTCAATCTTTCATTTCACCCACATAATGCTCGTGCCCTACTCAAATGTCATATAGAAAAATTTTATATATACTTTTTTTTTGCAAATTTTTCAAAAGTAGTAGTAGGCTTACACTGTGTATCAGGGAAGACCCGGTGTAGATACTGAATTGTAATCCTACAATGTACTCGCTTCTTAATCAAACAATGTAATGGGACTTCATTGCTTCTTAATATCAGTGCAAATTTGTTGTCTTATTAATTGTTTAATGTATTATTAATAATTTAGCAGAAAATCATCCTTGTCAAAGAAGGTATTATGTTGATTGCGTCTATTGTGTAAGAGGAATTTTTTGTATTCTTAATTTTCTACATGGTACATTTATAAGTATAAAGTATCCCATCGACAACACAACGTCCAAGATTCATTAAAACGTGGATCGGACGTCCCAGGGACATCGTGAGCCGATGAGATCAGACGTCCTTTCTAAACAGCTGTGGAATCTTTACGTGTATGGTCGGCATTGAGGTATTTCGAATATGACGAAGGAATCACAAGGCTAATATCCAATTCAGCAGACCACCATGGTACTCGCTGTCAAGATATGTTAGCCGCCATTGTGTCTTCGGACTGTCTTGACAATTATTACTTTGTACTGTATGTGGATTTCTTCCCATTTTTTTTCGCAATTCGCGCACTTCAAACCTTCCAAATCAATTATTGTCCTCTTTTTTTTTTAGCCAGGCTTACCAAAAAAGCTTTTCTAGTCCGTGCCCTATGTAGTTTGACGGTCAAAGTAGCTTCGTGTCTTATTATAGAGCGACAGGTATAGCTTAGTCTTGACAGGTGCGTCTTTGGGCCAGTCTGTGGCATTAGGAAAATTAAAAAGAAATCGTGGTAGATAAAATTGCAAGCGCCTTAGAGGGCGCTCCGATAGATGCGCTACAAAAGCTGAGCTATCACTGGATGGAGAAGACACATGTGCTCGGCGCCACGAATCGGAAGGCGATTAACGCTGAAATGACGCACCATTTCCGGTATGCTCTCGAACGGTTTGCTGAACTGTCCTAGTATATAAGCCTTAAGTTCCTCGTTCCGTTGGATTCGCATATGCATGAAGCCTCTGGCACTCCTGAAAAATGAAATAACTCTCATGCGAATGGGTTTGCATTTTCGAGGTACTAAGTTCCAGTTCGAGCTTCCGAAATGGCACTTGGACCGAAGTTGGAATATTACTTACTTTAAGGATAAGGAATAATCCTGTTTAGTGGATTCGCTGTTCCTCACCAGATAGCTGCCTTCTCTTAGCAAACGAAGAACAGCCTCTGCTTCGATGCGCGTGATAGAACCGTGATACCACCTAAAAGAAAAATCGTAAACTCGTGAAATACGTGTGTCAAGAGAAGCTGGTTTAAGATGATCCGTTGTAGATACTCACCCTTGTCTCTCTAGAGGAAGATCAACATCCACTAGATCAGCCGACCCACGAGTCGTATTTATTTCTAGTGGCAGACCTAGACTTAGCGCAACTGGTTTCTTTATGACCAACTGACCAGCCAACCCTCCTGAATTAGTCGCTCCAGTTCCACCCCCATCGAGATTCAGAGTCATCTTGGGACGCGACAAACCGCCGCCTGAAATGAGTCACGCGACAGTTAGACGCCATGAACGTACTATACTGTGATACAATATAGTATAGTACCGTATTAGTATCGTTAGGATTCCGAGTCTTGCGACAGAATTAATAAATCAAGATGTATGTATTTAGGACATATTGAAATTGCACCCTTACGAATCTCCTGGATTTGGCAAGAGCAGACATTTATATTTTCAACGGTGAATTTGAGATGTTAACATACTTTCGTGATATTAAGCTGAATTTACATGATGTTCGATACACCTTTGACCGCATCAATTCTTAGCCCGTATTCTGTCCGTCGCATTCCTTTGAAATTTCGATCGACCTCACGCCCCGTTTTTGTGATTAACGATGCAGATCTCAGGGCTGACACTTTTAAAAGTACGCGACACCCAGTAGGTATTTGATGGAAGCCGAGGAGTAATTTACGTTCAGGTTTTTTCATTAGCAGCATACTAGCAAGCCCTAGGGGGCTGGCAACATCACCATTGATTGATTCGAGTCTTTTCTTGGAAATTCGACACTTTTAGTCAGTCTGCTTTCATTTTCTTTTCCTTACTGGTTACCTCGAAATTTCCCTTTTCATTTCTTTCCCCGCTTCGCTTCATCTCTCATGTTTTACTTATACGAGTATCGATCGAGCCAACTTTTAATTCCTCAGTGTGTCTCGCTCTGGCGAAGTGAAAAGGCAAAATTCCGATTTACAAGGCAGGTTTCAATGGCGTGAGTAAAATATAAGTTTCGTATGAAAAATTATTGGGGAATAAAAACTTTTCTGACAGCAAGTGCAAAGCTCTGAAAAATCTATGTAAATCTTCAAGCTTAGAAGACAATGTGTTTTCTTTGCTAACAATGGGAATAAGATTCCAAGCCAAGGGAGAATTTAACCCCTTAGTGCCGGTTAAGAATCGCTCAGGAATTACGAGCATTGTTTCTAACATAAACAATACCCCATCCGCGATCCTCCCTGACAATGACACATGCCTCACCATTGTATTTTAAACTGAGACAAGTACCAGCTTCCTCGAATTGAATACCATGCAGAATTTATCCCTTCAATTTCTCTCTTCCTCTCTTCCTCTCTCACTGTTCATGTCCAACGTTATCTTATCGAAAAAAATATTTAAGTACAGTTCAGAGTATAAAAATTCTAGTAGCAACTGTGTCGTATATCATTTCCGTTTTCTGACAAGAGAAAAGGAATAAGAAAAAGTGCAAATCTTATTTTCTCCAAACTTGCCAAGATCTTCCCCAAACACATTACACGCACGTACAGTTTCGAAAGTTAATTGAATTTAGGGCTGGCGCACAATCTCTTAACAGTTAACTCTTGGCAAATGACGAAGGTCTGACGAAATTGGTCTGACACGTGTAAACACGAGTTAAAGTCACTCGAGTATAACACCTACGGAACAGTAACACCATAGCTCCCAACCACCATAAGTGCCAGGTTCACTAAAGGAAAGAAACTTTTTCGGTTCGGGATTCCCATGGACATTCACCGGCAGCTTCTTACTCGACTTTATAAAACATTAAACGAAATCGCAGCGAATAGTCGAGCTGCGAATAGACTACTTTCTGAGATTGGCTGAACGGTAAGGCACGATCTACTTTATTCAGTTTCATCCTACAATTCGAGGACGAAGGGACGCTTTAATTTTGTTCACCCAAAAAATAACCATACGTACTTTTCGTTCCTGCTACCAGGACTCTCTTTAAGTACATTCCTCATTATCATTGATATCGACGTTGCTTTTATTGCTTACTTAAAATTTCATTCGTTCATTGTACTCCTTCTGTACTTTACTCCGTAACTCATAACTGTTCTTTGCCGACACTTATATCGCACGAAGTTTCATGTATAAGATTCGTGTAGTGTACAGTGCTGTCCTCGAGGGAGATCGTTACTCCAGGAGCAGAGACACGCGAAATCAACCTTCGAATTGAGTGACGGATTGTCTAACAGCGCAAGACGTCTCAAGTGCGTCTGACAACGAACGTAGAAATATACAGAACCTTTTCTCATGGCCTCTTGGGAAATTCTTGGCTGCGGTATGAACCAGAGTGAACGCCTTCGATCACGCGAGAGAAGAAAGTAGAAAAAGAAATACAACAAAGAGAACAGAGTCGAAGAAGAAGTAACGGGACACAGGAATTCGTAGAAGAATGAGAAGAGTCTTTTAATTTTGCCTAAATAAATCAGTAGGTATGGTCGATCAACGTATGTTGCCGCTACAGTCAGGTGTACGGAAGCCTGAAGGGCTCGAGTGTTATTTCCAGAAGCTTCGAGAACGCTGATGTGAATTTATTGCCGTGTCGGGAAATCGAGAAGAGGTTCGGAGATACGTTTAGAATTTATGGGGGATTGTCCGTATATCGAACAAGGAAACCATCATACTATCTCTTTTATCAGTTGGACAAAATTCTTTGGAAATTATGTAAAAACCAACAGTTATACCTACGAGACGAGCTTTCTATATTGTATGGATTACGTGATGTGGTCAAACAGAGAAGAACAGCAGAAGCCAAGAGTAAGGTGTCCGTGCACAGATGCGTTATAGTGTACAGGGGTGGTTTTAAGATCCGACAGATGTTACAGGAGCCATCCCCCATATCCTGTAGAACCTTCCATCCCTTACAGCCCTTATCGGCTGAGTAACAAACACTTCGAACCTGCCCGGAATAGTTGATGCATCTCGAGCCTCATGAAATATGAAGTACACGAGAGTCTATGGTATCTTCCAGGGAGGAGGCACAGGGTAGTTTGATATAACCATTGAACGTACTGGGCCCAATTTGCCCTTGAATTAAGTACAGTCAAGAGTGAACTAACTTTGAGATATTCTCCTGTAATAACCTTCTGCACCCATTCTAAATAACTTATGAAATACCAGACTCACGAGGTACAGACGTATGTAGGTATATATCTGTATACGTGAAAGGAGATGGTAAAGAGTACAGAAAAGTATCTCGAGCGGGAATGCACCATTTCACGAAATTCGACAAATAATCCGGACGAATGAACGAGCGCGTAACTGTGTTACCGGAATGGAAAGACGTTCCGGATGTTACGGAAGTTACGTTGGAAGTCTGTCGAGTAATAACGTTACACGCTTGGTTATTGGCCACCCTTGAGCTTTTGATATGAAATCGCGTTACCGCCGACCAGTCCTTTTATATGTCTTCCAACTTTTTCTAAGCGGATTTCACATGCCTTATGGGGCAGTTGATAAGAGCGTACCAACCGAAGGACATCCTTAAGATATTTACGAGGGTGAATTCCTGTAGGAACTACCTGCACCCGCATGTAATGTATGTTTGCCCACCTTGGTATAGTCAAGGAGTACAGATGGTCTCCTGAAGACATCTAAAGGACATCAGAACTTGAAGACGAGTTCAAGACTTCCTTTGGATACTTGTACCGATAGGCAAGAGTACTGTGTAAGTCCTGGACGATTGGATGTATTGCCAGGAGGCATAAAAACACCACAAAATATTCGATTGAAGATTCGTTTGTTTGTGCGGTGAAAGTTCAAAGAGAAACGCATAATTTTTTATTCCAGTTTCAAGAGTGGAGAGGGTGATTCTAGCGGATCAGTGTGATTGGAATATTCGGTGGGGACAGAGGAGTCGGAATACGTTCGTCGAATGTAAAACAGCGTCTTACATCATCCCCGAGTATGCATGGAAAAGCATATATATCCCTTATATATTTTTCTTTCCTTTTTTGCTCCCTCCCAACGCATTCTGAGCTTTTCCACAGCTGCTCGGTCAAGCGTGTACCGGGAGATACCACGGGTTTTTCTTCTTTTCTTAACGAGCTCAGCAATCTATGGTGCCGACATAGCAAGGAGCCATTAAATGGACCGTACCAGATCCCGTTTATGATTGATAATATTAATTTACCAAAAGTGAAAGGAAATTGCCTTTTGAAATGTCGCCTTAGAATGGCGCTACTTACGCTATTGCAAGCTCAGCTTTTGCAATCAAAGCAGACAAGTCGAAACGATACCGGATACCGGAATCGAAGTTGCTATGGATATCGTTTATAGGAATAAGCCATCCGTAAAGTGGGCATAGAAGCTCCCGAGCAAGTAGGCCTTATTTCCAATATTTCCAATAGGTATTGAGTATCGATACGCATGAACGCGCATTTACACACGTCCATTGCTTTAGTGGTCGATGTATGTGTTTGTTTTTCTGTTCTTTTTTTTTTCCACATTTTCTTCTCTTTCCTTTTCTCCTCTATATTTCTTGTTCCACGCATTGCGGCGGTAGCTCCAAGCAAACTGAGCCTCTCCTGGATCGCATTGTAGATGCGCGCAAGTTGGGAGCTTTTGTCTAAAAGCACAATGGTGGGTCTTTCAGTACTCTACCTAGTCTGAAGTAAAACCAAACCCCAAAGCTCCTCGGCTAACATCTTCTGAAAACTGGGTAAAGTGAATTTCTTTTATGCTAGTATAATTATGGCGTTTCCACGCCATTAACCGATTTTTCCACCTCACTCGTCATTCCACTCACAGCTACTTCAATTCACGCTTCAACTTCATTCGTAAAGTTATTTGCGAATTTTCAGTTTCCCAATGCCTGAAAGTACTTGGACATAGTCATCTTAATTTCGCTTCGGTATAGCTTTTTGGTTTTTCTTTGACCGCTCGAAATGCCTTAATCCATGGTTGAGAAGAATTTATTTTGCCTCCGCGAGAAAAGAAAAAACTGATGGTCCGATAATCCAGGGATTCTAGCAAAAATGATTTCCAGCCGTAAGGGATGTGCGAAAATGTTATTGGAGGGTTCCCTCGACCAGCGGGTGTCCTGAAAGTAATTACGTGCTAGCCAGAAAAAAGTGGCGACTGCTAAGAAATCTGTTCCCGATCACGTACCACCCTTAGCTGCCTGACTGACTTACTGAGGGCAGGGTTTCCTTCCAGGTCCTAGCCGCAACCGTTTGGCTCTTTAAATGGTCATTTACAGATTCGAATCGCGCATCCGTCACCTTGGATAATGTTGGACCGATCCGTCTTGTCGCAGATGGTCAGACTACTGGATGAAATATATCATTCGAATATATATTGGAACTCAAAAGGATACCACTGCACATATCTAATTTCATCATGGACTATAATGAGCTGAATTAATAAGTTAGCAAAATTTAGAATGTCAGAAAATGCGGAATTTTCTATGGCGCACATGTCCTATATTTGCCGCAGGCAATACTGCATTTAACCGTTGGGGAGGAGGTATGTACATTATAGCTCACGCAATTTTAGGGATGCAGTTTGTGGCCAGATTGTTCATTTCTCGTGGATGCTCCCACCGCATCGAGCGAAGCTGTCACAGATTAATCGGCCGCCTAATTATCACAATTGTGACCTGTCTGTAAATCTCGAATTATACCAGGTGACAGACTGGAAAAAGAATGAGGTATTTCCTACTCTGGAGGAGGAAATAAATAAACGTAGAATTTTCGGTAAAACTGATAATATAAACTTACCGAAAAGTACTGGCGGTTCAACGTCACGTACTGATAGACTAGAAGACGCCTGTGAAGCACTGGATTCTGTGCTCTGCGTGCATCTCAAACGTCTTCTTAATTTCGGCATGTCAAATGGCAAGTCGCGAAGATCCACGCTGGTGGCACTTCCCGAAGTTGTAGCATCCTGCTGCATTAGAAGTCTTCTTCTGCGCAACTTGGGCATATCGAATGGCAGATCAGTCAATTCAGGCTCGTTATCAATCAAATTGATGTTATCTAATTGTGGCTTAAGTAAATGTAAACCAAACGGTTTGCATTTTATTCCGGCTCTTGATTCAATGGATATACCACTGTCCGACCCTTGTATCTCGGTATCCCCTGAACTTGATGATTGCAGAGCTAAATTAATCAGATTCTTATTTTGCGGGGTCCGTCGCTTCTTGAATGACGTATCGGTTGGTGACGTCACGTTAGTATTGGTATTAGTATTTGTGTTAGTATTGCCTGTGAGATTCTCAGTAGGTTCTTCCGGAGATGCTTTCTGAGAGTTATTGTTACGATTATTATCAGATGTCTCGGATGCTGGCTCCTGAGACGATTTGTCCGATATTGGTGACAGAATGTGAAGCTTGTTAGTGTGATGATTCAAGAATCCTGATAGGGTAGGTTGCTGATGATGATGGAAACAGTTTGTACTGCCACTGTCAGAACTGTGAGAGCTGAGACTGGTACTGTGACGACTCTCGGAGCTGCTGGTTGATCTGTTCCCTTCGCTGGTACTGCTTCTCAAAGATTCCATACTGCCGCCACTGCTACTGGTGGCCATACTCTCGGTGCTGGAATATCCAACGCGTCTCCTGGTAGTCCTTAACTTGAACTCCAGAATTCCGGATTCCCTTCTCGGTCTCGGCAGCTCACCTTCAGCCTCATGAGGCCTGCCCTTGAATTCCATAATCGGTCGGCTCTCGCGAATGAGACTTCTTGGTCTCTGTCGATCTTCTCTTGGCCTTCCCTTAAACTCAAGAATGAGTTCCTTATCCAGACGACGACTTTGCGAATCTACCTCCTGGACGAAGCTCTTAGGTCGTCCTTTGATCTCTAGAATACTGCCCTCGCTACTTTGAGGCGACTCCTTAGCTCTGAGGGATTTGACTGGTAGTCTCATGTCTTTAAGACGCGGATGATCAGGCTGCGACGGTAGATTAGGCGCACTACGTATGTTCAACAGTAGATGATCCTTATTTCCATGGAACTTGGCAGGCAGCGGTGCTGTCGACGGTGGCGAAGGCGTATAGCCGCGCACCGGTAACCTTGGCGAAGCTTTCTCATCGCTAGAATTAATCTGGAGGGACTCGATATCTTGGGACAGAGATGATATATTGTCAGTTTGTTGAAGACGGCTCGGAATTGGTTTTGGCCGGAGTAGAACGACTTTGCGCCTATCCTTGGGTACGTATGAGATCTGCGCCGAGGTCTCGTTATTACATGACGAAGTGGCCCTGGCCGGGGTGGCCCGTGGTTGAGAATGTAGAACAGGATGATTGGTCACACGATCGAGATCATCCAGGTCATCGTCCGATCGGTTAACCTTGCAGTCGAAGGCCGTCTCGTACAGATGACGCTGTCGTGCCATCTCTTCCTCGTCCTCCTCTCCCACCTCCTCCTCCGGCTCCTCTTCCTCCTCCTCCTCGTCGTACTCGTCCTCGAGGAGTATCGGCTGCGTATCTATTCTCCTTGAACGCCGGAGCTTGCGCACCTGACGGAACGCTGGCTGATCTACCTCATCCTCTTCCGGCGACACGACGCACATGCAGACACTAGTTGGTATATCATGACTCAGTAGCCTATGTGGAGGCATGAGGGTGTGATCCCACTCGGTGATGATGCACGACGAGAGGATCTCGCTTCTTGCTTGGACTGCATGCTCACTCCCCGACGTGGGGCTCACTAGTTCCGATTGACTTTGCTGACAGTAGGGCGGCCCATCACCAGCTACCGAATTCCTTTTCGGTAGTCCTGGTGTCCTAGAACGTTCTCCAGGAACGTCTAGGCTCACGCTCTTCCGATATTTACTTGGCTGCGATCTGGACAACTGTTCCGGAATCTTGAATAAGTCTCCGTAGTAATAAGGCGAAGGATGTCTAGTAGGCTGATTCGCTTCGGTCGGTGACTGGTCCGTGAGATTGACCAGAGCTGCGCAATCTACGATTACACCCTCCTCGGGTATCTCATTGGCTTTCTCAGCTAGGCGAGCACATTTCGAGGAAGTGGCGTAGAGGTCGTTTTTGTGTTTTCTGAAGGATACCAAAGTGCTTGCCAGTTCGTCATCTTCGCAAGATGATCCCGAAGCTGAAGGATCTGTAACAAAGCAATAATCTATATCATACATTGAACTTGATGTTTACTGTAATACAGTTATATATATATGTGGATCAATGAGTGACTTAGCAATTTTGCAAAAGACCCCATAAATCCATATTGCTGCCACTGTCTACCAGACCAGCATCACCCCCCAGTGGTACTATCATATAGGTGCTACCCGTAGAAGAAAGGATGGGACCAAGACTGAAGATAATGGGCGCATTATACTTGGCGAGGGTTCACGAATCCTCATTCCTTTAGCAATGGGGAAGACCAGACTCCATAAACTATACGCGGAGCTGGTTTTGACAGACACCAAGAATGCGAGATAACAGCCCGCGAAACTTCCTGGAAAAATGATTATACCACAAAGAAGGGTCCATTTTATCCTTTATGTTTTCGTCTATGACCAGTAAGATATGAAGATACCCTTTCTATAATCTTGCAGGTTACGTATAAATAATGCTTGACGATGATATTACCGACTGGTTCTATTAGAACAGCAGGTTCCCAAGAATTCCGTAAATAATCATCGAGAGAATTTTATGAACATACAAAAATAGATAGATTTTTTAATCAATCTTGTATGCTAAACTATTTTAAAGTGACGGTGGAAAATTATTTTTGTACTACAGCTTCCTCTTTTACTATGAGTAAAATGCGATTTTCTCTCTTATGGGGTTGCGTAGACTATGCAGGGTGAGAAAGCCATGATATTCCCATGTACTATACTCAGGCACTCAACTCTTCACTACTCTGCTTGTCTCTACCCGGCTTCATCCTCCGTCCCGACTTTTGATCTTGCATCCCGTATCTCTGGCAGGATGTAAGCAGTGCCGGGTGATGCGCTAAGGGAAAACGAGAAAGAAAAGGGCTGCGACTATATGGGGGAGTTCAGGAATGGAGAGAGCTGTCTTGCGAGGCACTCAGATTTTTCACTACGTCGACGTTGAAATGAGGAAATTGGTAGGTTGAATGCTGAAGAGATTTCGCAGACTGGAAAAATACGAGAGTCTAAGAGAAGCCCATTACTATTTGCGTTGTGAGGCAGATTAACCGTTGACTTCCGTTTTCTCGCATCCGGTCTTGTTAAATCCATCCTCCCTACTCAAGGTGGAGGAATCGACCTACCCCTTTAACTTTACGTACATTTCATCCAACAAAAGCAGCAATATTATTACTATTTTACATAGAAACAATCTGGTACGACGCTGGCAATATGAAATAAATAAACTTAGGAAACAACGCAAAATAACTATAATAGTACATCAAAACACATCGTAACAATAAAAGTATTTAAGAGACCTTATAAATAGAGAAAGAAAAATTAACAAAGAAAAAAAAGGTTATACCTGCCCTGAAAGAAGGAAAGTGAGTAGTTGCTTCGCGAATTTACTTCGAGAAGGAGCCTTCCGTATATCAGCCGGTAGAGAGTTCTAAAATAAGGCACCAGTGATGTGTAATGAGTGTTAGTGTCAATTCAGTGCGGTAAATAGATGTCACAAGATCCCAGGAACGACTCCGAAAAGTCTAAGACACAAGAGACGAAGGCATATCCATCAATGAATCTGTGGGGTAAGCAGAACTAGTCCCAGTAATTTATAGATATAAGTATCCCCGGAAGAAAAGTTGCTCGAATTTTAGCCAGTCAACTTGGCTAAAATTGGGCACGATGGGCTCCCATCTTTTTACCCCAGCACGAAACGCACCCCACCTGCATTTTCGAGTGAGTCCCAAGGAACCACTACCACAGATAACACAGCAATTGACAGGGCGGCTCGGTTTCCCCTGAGGACATAGAACGTCCTATTAATACGTCCGCAGACATCGAGAATCTAAGAATTCCATGACAGTTTAAAATATATGTAGGAACGAGAAGAAAAGATAACGAAATTGCCAAGTGAGTTGAAGAAGAAGGGAATGCAAAATATGAATATGTATTCGCAGCTGCTGCCTCTATCGCGATTGGACCGTTGCTACTTTGCTCGGTGGGACGGATGTCGAAATTGCCAAGGAGAAAAATAAATATTCGAAACAGTCCGCGTAACTCTCGATTGCATTTTAAACGAACCGTACTCGTCGGCCCGTACAATTTCCCTCCCCGGTCCAGAGCAACGGTGCCGTGAAATTGCACTTGCAACAACCGACGCATGCAGCAACGACTAATTCTTATAATTCCCAGGAAAGTTCAATTTCGAAAAGTGCAGCTCGTTCGTTCGCTCTTTGTCATCCGCCAGTCTCGAGAAATATCTAAGAAAACTTGCAACTGCAATTCCCAAAGTTCAACTACATCCAACCGATGGATTTCATGGGGCTGGCATATCGCCAAATTGCAACGATATTGATTACCGATCGATAATCGGATTTGCTAGATGCACCGGGTGTGCCAGAGATTGCTCGAGTGCAGATTCGTATCGTTGGGGCTGCAGATGCACTCGGGGGATGCCCTGGAAGCCTACCCCTAATGAATCTATTAGAGCCAGGAAGCGACAACGTTAACCCGACAATCACAACGTGTAACGTGAATGCACTGTCGCTGCACTATCCCTGCATCCACGTATATGCAGTTCGAGTGAACTTGCTGATACGGCTCTATGTATGTGCTTGCATCCCCATCCCTTAGGGATGATTTAGAACGTGGTCCATGGAGAACACTGTGTACACAACGAGCACCCCTACTGCAGGGAGCTGAAATCTGATGAACTATCGACTCGCGGGTATGACGATATATTTCGCGTACGGCAGCCAGAAGAGATATCGGTGAACGGTGGTCGAAATAGGAGAGGAATGAAAAAAAACAGGGCAACCACAGAAATCTTCTGAAAGCTTTATAAGGGAGCAAAGCTCGGGAAGCTTCCGGCACTTCACTCGGCTTTTTATTAGATATTGTCCTCGTAACATAACCGGGGAGTAAGGCAATGTATGTGGGTCGTGGATTGTATCGTCGTGAAGGGTGCGTTGTCGCTCGGCCCTTTACCAAATCACGGTCGCCACCTTCCCTTCTTTTCCCGCTTCGCCCTCCCTGCCGCTAAGAACGACAATGCGACTGCAAAGATTACCCCAGAACGTGGTGCTCCTTCTCCTTCTTCCTTCCTCTGGTATCCCTTATAGGACATCTTATCCTTATGCTACTCGTAGTCATACCGCGACAAAATGAAAGCCAATCTCGGTTATTGGATGCAGTATGAGAATACGGATTTTGGGAGAATTCTGTTTTTTTTCTCTCTTCCTAGGAAATCGATACGATAACCCTTGGAGATTTTGAGAAATATGTTTTTCTTTATCGGCTGACCGGATGTGATGGTTTCTTTTTTGCTTAATGAGTTTTTACTGGTACGATACCGGAAAGTACAGCAGGTTGTTGTAATATCTTTTAGGGGTTGTCTGATAACGGGAAAAATTCTCTTAGTCATCTCTGGGGAAATTCTGTTATCTTTATTCTCGTTATATTTATATTTTACTGTCATTATTGTGGACTTAGGGTTTTGATATTAAGACTGTGAGTCATTGCCGTTCGTTCAACTGGCATAGCTGACGTTTGAGTCTCGAAGCTATTGAGCTCCTTTAAGACTATTTATATAAAAAAAAGAAATTGAAAGGGGCAGAAATTTCATCAGCAACGTAACCCAAAGGTATCGTAAAGAAATAACAAGATGGGAACCTCTTTGCTGACTTTCTGATTGACTGATTGTCGGAGTCACTGATTAGAAACACCGGTTCACCTTTGAACTTCGACCTTTTCTCGAAATTCTGATTATAAACCAGGACAAAATATCAGATGCGAAGCGATGCGCGGCTCGTTGTGACGTCACGTGCACATAGAGACCGTAAAGTCAAGGAACAAGTAGAAAAGATGAAAAGGAAAGAAGTCAGGGTAAACTGTGTATATATCCAAAAGCTGTGCAGAGGGTTGGTACAGGGTGAGGCCAAGTGCTAAATTAAAAAGACGCAAGAGAGCCGAGACCTTTGAGAATTTTGAGTGGCAATTACTTGCCCTGTCCTCGGATTACTTACTCCAGTAATTTTATTACATCAAAACCTTATATTCGCGTATCGCATTACCCTTACGCGCACTCTGCATAAGGTTCGCCGAACTTTACAGGGTTGTTAGGATACTGGCTTATTATATGATACCCAAGTACTACTACCTATGTGAACTGGCCTTGCACTGATTGTCATTGACAGAGAGCGCGATGATAGATAAATAAATTGTCATTTATTAGAGAGAATTCGGAAAAGGGTGGAAGGGCAACACAGAGATTTCACCCTTACTGCCGTTGCTGGTTCATCAAACCGATTTTGTTCCTCGTTAAGCAGCATGGCCAAACTGCACTGTTAGGTCCGATTGATTTTACTGCTAATAAAATCAATGTTAGTTCATCGTCAGAGGGTTGAGAGACTGGCGTGCTACTGGCAGGGTTGGTTTGGACTGCTAGGGGTGGATTATACGCTTCCCTATCGGTAGACATTGCTCAATTGAAATCTACATCGGTGGTCACACGGGGCACGAGCGTTTGCGGCGGAGGGGTTGAAAATTTCCTACGGTACGTGATGTCCTATACTTTCACGTGGTACCACTCATCCCTCGTGAAATTACTAATTTTCATTTATATTTATTTCTCTTTTTTTTTTTATATAAAAAAGTAGCCCTACCATATCTCCGTGTTCGTCTGACTACCCTACCAGATTCCCCAGGCAATTTTACGTCTCGTACTCATCTTTTTACATTTACCCTGCTGCGCGCACCCTCGGAATTCTATTACGTGTCTACCAGTGAGACACAGGGGATGGTCCACTTGGACGAGGGGGTTGGTATGATTTTATTTTGTGATCAAAGAGAAAAAGGATTAAGCCCGAGTGACGTTGGCGCGAGCGGAAGAGACACTGGACTTGGTTTCATTTGACTAATGACGCCGCTAACGTGGCTCACTTTTTGGATAATTAACGTTACTACGATACTCGGAGCGATGGTATCAGTCGTAATTAGTATCAGAGAATTCGTTTTATGTGTTTCAAGAGGAAAATATTAACAGACCAAAGAGATACCGAAGGTAAAAATATAATATGATCAATCATCGTACCGGCGATTTTTGTCCAGATGGATGAAAGCAGCTGACGCGGCAATTACCCTAAGCACTCCCGAAATTATCTTTAAACGATATGCAAATCGTGGCAGAAATGCTAATTGTAATTAGCCACTGAAATTAATTCAAAGGCATCTCACCGGCGAGGGGTTTGGCTTGGCCTAAATATAGACCTTCGCCTCTCCCTTTCGTTCGAGAATTCTAGGCTCTGACTTAATGATAATTTACGGTGAAAAATGTTTTTTTATCTCAAATTATAATCACGCTCGTTATCGATTACCAATAAAAATAATACGACGCGTGTCTTCCTTTTTATGGAGAAACAAAATTTTCAACCCTTTATCAAATCAGCTATGGTACGAACCTCATTCTTTGTCAATTTAAAATTATTCCAGAGAGAAAAATAAATCGGGCAATAAATTTTGCATAAATTTTCATTAGATTTAAAAAATCAATTACCATTTGAATACAAAATTTGTCGTATGTCATCTGACTGCTCTGTTTGAGTTACGCGTCCCCTGTATTTATAAAAGGTGTAGAAAAACTCCGGGACATTAGTACTCAGCCCAATTACCAACATGATTTATCCGTCTAGACACCCCCAGAGATAAATCCATCCCCATTGGCACTAGTTAGGTAGGTGCTATCAAAACATCCATGCACACCATGAAAAGTATCCAATAAGAGATTGTCCATCGACAATACCCAAGCTACGGTATATAATGTTAATAAATACACCCATAGGGTTATAGAATAAAAATTGAAATGAAAATAAGATTAAACAAAAGACATTAATCGTGCAGTAGCAGCACGATCAAAGGGATAAAGCGGTGTCGTTGACAGTTTGTAAATGATCGAGTTTACGGGTGGTAAAGGAAACGTCTAGTGCGAGAGGGTTGAAGATGGTGGAAGAGACTCGGAGCTAAGGAAATGACGAAAGCCAAAGAATAGGAGGGTAGAAGGAGGATGGAAGCAGTGAAATTTCCCTTCGCAAGTTAACTATTCATCTTCGTGACAATTCAACGAAACTTTTGGTTGCCTCCCCCTTACGGGTTCCATTTTAAAACTGTCAAGGGAGAAATAAACATGGCGTCGATTATGGCATCCACAACTTTACTCGTTCACACCGTACAAAGAGATCCAATAAATTAGAAACGGAAGGGACGATATTGTTTACAGTTTCTCTAAAATTACAGCGGTTGATCCACATTTCCTTAAGGGATGACATACCATGTGGTATTCAAGTTAAGGAAGAGTGGTCGATTAATTCCAGTCCCCTGTACCGTAAGGGTAGTTTCACGAAATTCAAGGGTCCTTGGTAACAAAATCCAGAAAAGCATCGTGGTGTCTGGCACAAAGTTTCCCTTTCCGTATTTCTCTTGTTGTTACCCTTTCTCCCGATATTAGGCCCCCTAACCCTTGCACTCTTCAACCCCTTATTCACCCCTTTCATACAGCACTCAACTGACGGACAAACGGACAATGTGTCATTTGCATACGATGAACCGGGTTGCCCGCGTTAACTGCTCGGGGACGTGGAACAAGGTACAAGTCACCTAGTACCATTAATTGAAATGGGGTAATTTCGTTTGCTTGGGGTTGCTGTATCTTCTAACCAGACCAGCCTGAATAGAAAGGGTACAGCGGTGAGAGCGGCTGTGACGGAACAGTTTCCGGGGAAAATTTCCATCTAAATTTCTACTCTAGCAGTTGACTGTGTTTAAGGTTTACCTTGACTTAAGAAAATCGTCAGGTTTAATATATCCGTGGGGGTTTCAGGGGGGGCAGGTTTGGTTGTTCAGTACGCACAACGTAAAACACTCTTGAAACTTTACAGACTGCTAGGAGTGAATTGGAGAAGGAGAGACGAGGGCCAGTCAATGGGGAGAGAGTTTAATTAAATATCGCGCGACATATTAGGGAGAAACCGAGGGTGGTTTTCCACAGTGTCGTTCGCAAGTAACGTCCGGGACACGACATCGACCGTAAAAGTTCGAATCTACCCGCGTCAACGGGACCGTAGGGGTTGTCATCAGCTTGGTACAAAGTGGCTATCAGAAAAATGTTCAGATAACTAAATTTCATGTGCCAATTCAAAATTTTCTTTTAACACCAAAATTAAATATCGTTCCATCTGAAAGTCTTTAATGAAATTTGGAAAAAAAAAATGAACCAATAACAATTTTTAATACGCTTTAATACGACTGTTTAGTGTTGGTATTGATGATTCCTCAATGTTCTGTTTATTCTAATGAAATGGTTGTCTGATTAGTTAATTGTTTGTTTAGTATTGACAAATATTGTGACATTTCCAAATCCACGAATTAAAATCTCATGAATATGGTAAAGATGTAAATATACCGGGTGTTTATTCAGGATCACTGTTATTGAGCAATCTGCATATTTGAATCAAGATTTGAGAGCATCGGATACGTGCTACCTGAATAACCGTAGAGTAATTGCCGACGAAGAGAAGCAATGGGACTGCAAAGGGAGGAAAGAAAAGATACCGTATGTTGGAGCGATTTTGAATTTGCCTTCGAGTCAAGAATAAGGCCTGGAACAATAGTAAACTTGCAGAATAACGCAACATTCATTTTTGCATTACCCTCATTCTCAAGAGTATTCTTCAGAATGACGGTGAATTATATTTTCGAATCTTTCAGAAAATGTTTCAAATGATTATGCCGCCAGTTGATTATTGGTCCAGCCCTTATTCTTGATTTGATGGGAAATTCCAAATCGGCAGTGAAATCAAGCTTGTAATGCTTGAGTGGATTGACGGATCTGGCAATGTACCGTAATTCACACGTCTTCATTGTGATACAGAGAGTTATCGGTATCTGTGGTTTAGCGCCTGAAAACTGTGTACAATTTCCAGCGTTCAACATTCCATATTTCTGGGATTCAATTCGACTTCCTGCAGATCCTATAAATCGAGGCTAGATATATGCATTTCAAATATTATTGCAGAAATATTTTATGCAATGGAAATCGAATATTTGCCATTTGAATATACGTCTCCTGAACCACTTGGTTTCATTTTTTTCTTCTCATCTCCTTATCTCTCTTTGCAAGTATGAAAACCGACAAGGCACACCTGAACGAAGATTGCGAAAACTTTTAGCAACGAAAATATTGTCCTTTTATTCCCAAAAGCACCGTTATCAACGCTTGCGTCCCCATCTTTGGTAGCGCCACCTTGATCCGAGCCACCCCCATTCAATTCACGAGTTTATAATAAAAAGAGGGAAGGAGGATTAAAAAAGAAGTGAAAAAAAAAAATGGGTAAAACCTCGTGGTAGAGTATTTCAAAGCGGCAAATGTCATAACCTTTTTGAAATTAAAGTCCAACTTTCATAACGCCCTCGTGAAAAGAAATTTACCCTTGGTATTCGATGGTTGCTTTTGAATAAGAGTTTAAAATTATCTCCTGAAAATTGATAAGTGACGATTAAAATATCACCAAAGACAGGTTTGTCATCAAGGATGATCAGATGTACCAATCAACAGACTCCACTACCTGAACAATCCTTAACGAATGTATTTTATAGTGGTAGTACTCACCGGTATAAGGTCTGCAATAGTCTCGATTGACTTTACTGTAAGTTGTCGGAAGGGATGATTCCGCCCCTGGTTCCGTATAGGCTTTGCTTCTACTGTCTCTGGGGTCGCTGTACTGCTCGACCACTTCGACTTCCGCCTGCATACAAAAAAAGTCAAAGTTTTAAAAATATCGACTTGTGCATCTCAATTGTGACGCGTAACTTTGATTATTGTCACTGAACGATAAGGCTGATTTAACTAAACTGCCAAGTTCAGCTGTAACAATACTAATTTGCCGTGTGTATCTAGTGCTTATGTGCATGGTCACGGGTCCTCTTCTCGTCCCTTAAGGGATGCTAGTATGGGAAGGGTTATCGCCAAGAGTTTCCTACGGCTGAGCGAACACGGCACGTTCGCGAATAGGGGTTGTTTTCGTACGAAAAGCAGAAGCAATTGCGGCAAAGCCTTCCAGAGTTCCCGAGCCAAGAGTAAACATTTTTTCCTCTCTGTTAAGCGATCATTATTTCCAGAGAAAACATTGGACAGGGGTAACTTTTCTTTCCACTTTCTACCTAACCCCTTTTCCTCTTCGTCTTCCGTTTATTCTTCTCCCTGTGAACCAAAAACTATGGCGCATCTTGACGTCCTCGTTCGATAGGCTACTACGATTAAACGAAACCACTAATTACCCTTATCGCGATGAGTCAGGGGTTAATCAGAGGCGTCACTCCTTTCATCCCTATCAAGGATCGATTAATGATACGCAATACCAGAAGTAAATCAGCCATGAAAGAGGCTGGAATATTTTCGGGGATGCCTGGATGGGGTTCCATCATAATGATGTCCCGAGGGTATAAGAGGAAAGCTGGGAAGGGTTGATTTTCTCGAACGAAACGAATAATCAATGCAAAGGCAACCAAGATGTCCCAAGTGAAGAATGATAGGATCGATAAATGAAAACTGGAAAATGGTCTCTCCGAGGTCGCTAAAGTAAGACGCAGTCGACGTAGAAGATGAGACGACGGGTATGGTGGGACGAGTGGTGGGCGGTGGACAAGTAGGTTTAAATTGAAAGACGCCGAAATTGGAATTCTTTGGGTAAACTTATATACGTATTAAAGATATATCCCTTATACATAGGGCAGCGAGAGAGGTGGG